GGGGCTAATATCCAAAATACATAAAGAACTCACCCAACTCAATAGCAAAAACACCCCACAAATAATCAAATTAAAAATGGACATAAGATCTGAGTAGACATTTTTTCAAAGATATGTGGGGGCACCTGGGTGGCTCAGTGGTTTAAGCCTCTGCCTTCCGCTCAGGTCATGATCTCAGGGTCCTGGGATGGAGCCCCAGGTCGGGCTCTCTGCTCAACAGGGAGCCTGCTTCCTCTTCTCCCTCTGCCTGCCTCTCTGCCTACTTTTGGGTATTTATCTGAAGAAAATGAAAACACTAACTCAAAAAGATATATGTACTCCCTTGTTCATTGCAGCATTATTTACAATAACCAAGACATGAAAACAACCTGTGTCCATCGATGGATGGATGAATAAGTAACTATAGCATGTACACACACACACACGAATATGACTCACCTATAAAAAAGGATGAAATCTTGCCATTTGCAACAACATGGATGGACCTCAAGGGCATTATGCTAAGTGAAACAAACCAGACTGAGAAAGACAGTGATTTCTCTTAAACATGAAATCTTAAAATAAAAAATAACAAAAAACAAAAAAACAAAAAAAAAACAAGCTCATTGAAACAGAACAGATTGGTGGTTGCCAGAAGCCCCAAAGAGTGGGGGTGAAGGGGGTAGAAAACAAGAAAAAAAGAACAAAGTGAGAGAAGGTACTTCTTTATACTCTTAAAGGCCACAGTATTTTTTAAAAATATTTTATTTATTTATTTGACAGACAGAGATCACAAGTAGGCAGAGAGGCAGGCAGAGAGAGAGCCAGGGAAACAGGCTCCTTGCTGAGCAGAGAACCCGATGTGGGGCTCGATCCCAGGACCCTGAGATCATGACCTGAGCGGAAGGCAGAGGCTTTAACCCACTGAGACACCCAGGTGCCCCAAAGGCCACAGTATTAACTTCTCTGCTGGAGAAACTCTCTCCTCCCTCTGGCCCTCCCACTCATGCTTTCTCTGTCTTAAGGGGCGCCCAAGTGGCTCAGTTGGTTAAGCGTCTGCCTTCTTTGGCTCAGATCATGATCCCAGGGTCTTGGGATCGAGCCCCAGGGAGTCTGCTTCTCCTTTTCCCTCTCTCTCAAAGCAATAAATAAAATCTTAAAAAAATCTTAGGAAAACAATAGTCATCTCATCCATCCTCATTCATGCCAACTACTTTAAATGTTTTGTACTTTTTCTTATAAACTGTTTCTCCATCGCCCCTTTATTATCTTGCTTTCTGTGTTCTTGAGATTCCATTAAGTCATTCGCCATTCAATATTTAGTTTTCTTAACTTCCTTAGTAGAAGTCTAAATAGTAGCGATAACACTGAGAATATCCACAAGATTAGCATATATAATACAAAGTAGATGATCAGCCCCCTAATAGAGTGGACTGCAACTGTAGTCTGATGTAATATACCTACACAATTTGTCAAATTAATGATAAAAGTTAGAGTTGGTTGGGGGTGGAGGGGAGGCAGTTGTCTCAGAGGACCATACTCGTATGGTCAAACTATGGTTAAGATTAAATTATTTTTTTTTTTTCTTCCTGGTAGTCACCATAATTGGTGTATAGTGTGTCTACTGTCAGCTGCTGGCCACTTCCCGGAGAAAGCACAGATTAACAGTAAGCTATGTTTCTCCTCTGTTGCTAATTCTAGCCCAATGCTGGAACCAGAAATTCAATGGTGAAAGCTACAGCCACCGGATGCCACCAAGAGAACTACAGGGGCACCCAGACCTTTTTCCAAGTAGCACTTACAACCCAGTTGACTCTCCTTCCCCTGACTCTGCCCTCGATCCCATTCGCCATCACATGTACTGGTGGAACCACCCATCTTCTAGTTTGGTTTCCGAGGGAAAACAGTTGCTTGGCCTCATGTGTTAGTAACACCAGGGTCTCCTATTGCTTATGCTTGTGTTTGAAAACAAACACCTTGACCAGTCTGTGTCAACCGGCGGCGGTACAAGAAGGCACAGTCCATCTTGGGTTTTTTGTACCATCACAAGAGAAGATAGTGTTATAAAAAATTAAGAACAATACTGAGAGCCTAAAACCAGTACATAGCAAGAGGAGATTCATTTCTCCCCAAGTAATCTATTATTCAGTCAGAAACGAGGTTGTCTGTAAGTACAGACTCAGTGCTATAAATAGATGATCAGAAGCTTGCTTTTATTTTCTGCCCTAAGAAAAATAATCACTCACCCTACAGAGGTGGCTCCAAGTCTTTCTGATAACATTCTAGGACCTATTTGGCTACTAGAACTGAAAGAACTCTTTTAAAGCTACAGAACTCCTCTCATACCCCCTAAATTGCACACTACAGAGATACATTCTTTACAAATAATTTCAAAGGGTTCCTTGCATCCTAAAACCCATCCTGGAAACTGGAAATTTAAGAATTCACCCACCACCATGTAGTATTCCAAAAACCTTTACTGCTTCCAATTAATAAAAAAATAACAAAATTCTCTATAGGAAATATCAACCCATTCATGCACCCCCTTTTTTGAAAATACTTTTTTTTCTTTTTTTTTTTTTTTTTTTTTTTTTTAAAAGCAAGCTCTATAAGGAGCTTGAACTCACAACCCTGAGATCAGGAGTTGCATGCTCGACTGAACCAGCCAGGTGCCCCACATTTTTCTTCTTTTCCAACTTTCTGATTTCTACTAAATCTTTAACGAAGAAGTCTTAGGGTTAAAGAAAATTCATTCAATATATTTAAAACTGTTGCCTGGATCCAGTCTGACTGCATGATCTTCTAACTGTGGAGACATGACAATTAGCAAGAATAATACAGGTTTTTAGAGACCGGTGAGCTTGGGCGGACCAAGCAAGCTATTTGTTGTATAACTACTTTACCTAATTTTTTTTGAGCCTCCTTTCTCACCTGTGAAATGAGTATATTACCTGATAGGGAGCTATTTGGAAGACAAACAATAAAGTAAAACATCTGACACTAAAAAGGCTGAATTAAGACCTTTAGAGACCCAAATCATCAGGACTCCAGTGCCAGAATCATTAAGATATTGGTGGAAAATAGAGAACACACTTGAACTGCGTAACTTGACTACTTACAAAGACATGGCAAAGTTCAGGCAAACCAACAAGGAATAATGGAGTAATCTAGAGCTAGTAAGGGACTAGTTCTTTCTATCCCTAGATTTGAAGGGGTAAAGTGAAGAAGCTAGAAGCTCAAGAGGGCTGCCTAACTGGCGTCATGGTCTTTGGTAGAGTGACAGACAACTTCTGGGACCTGGGGAATAAATACCCTGACCATTCTTGATCTTGAAGGTATTACAAATTGGATCAATATAACCCAAAGTCAGAGGGCAAGGGAGCCTGTGAATGCAGTCCGTACGGGCCAGGCCCTCCTGGGGCACAGACAGAACAGGATGGAGAGCAGCTCTGAAGGGGACATGGAAGATCTCCTGCACCACTTCTGCCCCAGCAAAATTCCAGCTACTAAACCACTGAACACAAAACTTGCACATATGCTGAAACTGAAATACCTTCTTTCTAGAACTTTCAGTTACAAACTTTTGAATTTTTTTTTTTTTTTTTTAAGCAGGCTCCAAACCCAACATGGGGCTTGAACTCACAACCTAGAAATCAAGAGCCACACGATCTACTGACTGAGCCAGCCAGGTGCCCCCTGAGTTATTATTAAAAGCAGATTTCTTTTCTCAGACTTTCTGGTATCCCTGCTCTGCTGGTGCCTTAAGCACATGCCTAGATGGCCTCCAGCGCAGCTATGAGTGTGGCCCCTAGACAGGAAAGGCTCGATAAACGGGAACTGGTAAGTCTCCAGTTAACTCCTGAATGCTAACTCTAAGGATCTCCACAAGATTTCTGAGCATCCAGAACAAATTTAGAAGGAATCTTAGGATTTTTCTCTTTAGGTATCACTCATTAAGCAATTCAGAAATTGGATTTTCTTAGGCTCAGAAAATCCTCTGGTTGTAAAACTTCTTATAATCCTAGTGAATGACAGGAAAGTTTATAGTTTCTTATGAAAGAGAATAAAAGAAATCAGGACATCAATTTCACATTGACATTTTTATTAACGCCAACTGTTTTTTAATTATTATTTTTTTAAAACAATAGCACAAAAATGTTTCAAGGAAGCAGTCTCACAATCTGATGACCTTCTGAAATACAGTCAAGCCACACCAAATATGAAATTCCTGTTAATAACACAAAGCAAATATTTTTAAAAAGGAAAAATAAAAAGAAGAGGAAAAAGAAAGAGAAGGAAAAAAGGTAAGGGCAGAGGAAAGCAATGAGATGTAGTTAAAACTCACTGGGTCAGGCAGGTGAGGCTTATTAGTAGAATACACTGTTAAAGCAAAGAGTGGCACACACAGGCTTACGATCTTTGCTGTTCTACCCAGTCACCACTAATACACGGCCCCCGGCGTTGGCCACTGACTTCTTCCACGTCCACGGTGAACCAAGAGAAGCCAGTGTTGATACTGTCATGAAGAGGTTTAACCGTTGGCCTGTTGGGACAACTACGAAGATTTTGTTTGTTTGTTTTTTAGCAGAATAACTCCTTCAGGATGGTCTGGCTGAAAACCCTTTCTTTTCTATGTGTCACCTATATGCATCTCAGGGCTCTTAAAAGTTGTCTTAAAAAAGAAAGAAAAAAAATAATGTATATCAGTTTCTCTTATTTAATGTGGCTATAAAAGATGTTTCCTTATTATTTCTTTTTCTCTAAGAAGGACACCGGGGATGAAGGTTGGGGGTGGAACTAAGAGGAAGAAAAAACCCAGACCAGTTTAGGTTTGGTGTTTTTTTTTTAAACTTTTTTTTTTTTTTTCCTTTCGGCCAGGGGTGGGGTCACACAGAAGGGAAGGCATGGAGGAAAATTATGATCCTTGGTTTAGATTGAGTTATGCAGGAAAATATATCTTCCCGATCAGTCCCCATGCCAAAAAAACCCAAAAAACAAAACAAAAACAAAAAAAACCCAAAACAAACCAAATAAAAAAAGCCTAACAAACCCCAAAAAACAAAAAACATTTGGAATTATGCACAGATTCTATGTTATACCAGCTATCAGCCTTCCACGTTTAACCATTCCCAGCAATGGACACTACCCTCGGCTTACAGGCTGCTTGCAGAACCCACTTCACAAAAAATCTTCTTCACCCAGAAGCCTCCAGTTTCCTTTTGGTAGGTTATAAAAACAGAACATCTGTCATTAAGAGGAGAGTGTTAAATACTTTTAACCACTGACAAGGCTTCAGGAAGTTTCACAGTTTCGTTATGCTCTATTTTATTACTATCATATTTACATTTTTATTTTTTATTTTTATTTTTTTATTTTTTTGCTGAATTGCTGATTTTCCTTTTTCAATAGAATTTAATTCTGGAGTGTGAGCAGGAACCAGTTAACTACATTCATTGTCCAACCCCCACTGGTTTGAAAGAAGACTCCAAATTCTCTGCATGTGAATCAGCTGTTCAGTAGCCCCACCTCCCCCCGCCCCCCCACAGCCAAGCAGCAGGACCGCAGCAGCGGTGGCGCGCCGGGCTCACGCTGTAGGGGGCGAGGACTTTCGTTGAAGGAGGTACTGGTGAATGCTCTCAGCATCTCGCTTTAGCCAAGCAGCATTCAGCAGGATATTCTCACAACACTGCTGGATGGTACGCTCAGCTGACGGAGCCGGGTGACTCTCGAAGAAAGCCTGGCGTAAAACAACCCAGAGTGTAGGATCAGTACCAGCAACAGTAAGAAGGTAACAGTATCACAGCTCAGGAAAAAATACCACTCTTCTGTAAAGGATTCAAAAGCTTCAATCATGAAAATTTACCACTGCCACTCCCAGGCTAAAAGAAAACAAGCAGCTCCTTAGACTTGCATTCAGGAATTCTCCAAATACACGCTTAAAATCGAATCCAAAGTTAATGAAGAGATAGAACCTATGGCCTTTCTTCTAGTGTAGGTGCTAGAATTAGGCTTGGGACTCAAATCTAGGCTGGATCATGTATTAACCTATGACTTTTCGTTAAATTAACTCTTCTGTTTTCTCATTTATGAGAAAATATTTACTCCAGAAGATTCAAGAAAACCCCATATAAACTGTTAACGTAATAGTTGGCAGTCAGGGTCCTTAAGGACTCAAAACACATTCTGGCTGCTTCTAATAGAGATTAAACTGCGAAGGATGATAAAACCATGAAGCTTTGATAGACTCACATTTTTCATACAAGACTATTTCTGAGTCTGTTGTAATTTATTACAAAGCTTATTGATTAAAGATGCAATAAACTATTTTCTAATGAAGTATGCCAAGATTCACAGAAAACAAAGCAACTCTTGGGGCGCCTGGGTGGCTCAGTCGGTTAAATGTCTGACTCTTGATTTCAGCTCAGGTCATCATGATCTCAGGGTCCTGGGTTCAAGCCCCGTGTCAGGCTCCATGCTCAGTGGGGCGTCTGCTTGGGATCCTCTCTCTCCCTCTGCCCCTCCTCCACTCTCTCTCACTTTCACTCACTCTATCTCTCTCTCTGAGATAAATAAATAAAAACTTTTTAAAAAAAATGAAAACAAAGCACCTCTTAAATACCAACCAGCGAAAGGATGGGGGTCTTTGAACTCATCATCACAGTGTATAAGGGAGAATGACTAATTCATCAGATTAAGTCTAGAACTTTTAGAAATCAATAACCTTATTTTGTTTACATACAATGGCTCCTGCTCCAAGGCTCTTTAGGGCCTGAGTAAGATACAAGACTTCCCCTCATTGCATCTCCACAAACAGCACTACCATTTACATATTAGAAACCTGGGAATTATCCTCGACTCTTCCTTCTTCCTCTGCCAGGTATGTCCACAACACAGAGAAGCCACTCAGAAAATATTTGTTGAACCAAAGATTAACAAAATCAAGCCCCCTGAATTTCATTACTCCATCTCCCCCAAGCTACTTTATCATTCTTGCTTGGACAGTTAGCATCCCAACATCTTCTCTTCGCCAACCCACACTTTCTCCGCACTGTAGCCAGGCTGAAATTTTTATCACACAAATCACATCAACTCACTCTGTTTATAGGCAATTCAAGGGCTTCCCGCTTTTAGGAAAATTTTCATACAGCCTATAGGGCTCTCCATGGTCTGGCCTCTACCTATCTTACCAGCCTCAGCGCAGCCACTCACTGCCCTTCCCCTCCAAACCCAGTGTATGTACCTCTCCTTCAGAGCACTTATATCCTTTACAATAAGGGAACTGTTTGCACAATATACAATGTAAACTAAATGAAGGCAGAGATCAAGTCTCTCAGTGTTTTCTCAAGCTCTGAATTCTTAAAATCTTATTCCTAGAATGGTTTCCAGAATGAATGAAACAGCACTACAGCTCTCAGAACTTCTAAATTTACATCTCATAACCCCATTGCCTTCAACAAGAGGAAGGTGAAAATGACATTTCAAAAGTACTTCACAATTAAAGGCAACGGAAGGCCTAAAGTTAAGATTTTCCTCATCAGTGTAGATTTGTTCCCCAAATGCTGAACTTTACCACTTAACTGATTATTAGCCTTCTTAAAGGCTAAGAGGACAGTCCCTACATAGCCATCTTCTCTCCCTGTGCATATGACAGATTACAAAGGTTATTAGAAAGGAAAAAATTATCAAGGACCTACCACTCCATTCCAGTCTGTTACTGGTGATGTTAGTTACTCTAAATAACAATCTTATTATCACCCCATTTTATGGATAAGGAAACACAGGGAGATCATGGGGTTAAAAACATGCTTAAAATCACATAGCTAATCAGGGCAAGGGATGGTTTTCTACTCAGACTGACTGATTCCAAGTTCCATGTTTTTTCAACCATATTTCAACACCCTCAAAGATGATTCCAACCCCAAATTCTTCAAGCATTAAAGACACAACCCAAGCAGTCTTTTTCCAAGCAAAAACAAGGATAAATACAGCATTACCCCATTACCTGCACTGTATGATTACAATGTGGCTTATTAGTTTTTACTTACTACCTTGAAAAGTAAAAAGTAAACAGCACTTTGCTTACCTTAACCTCTCCAGCCATTTTGTCAACTGCAAATCCCTCAACTGACAGCTGAAAAAACAACAGGTTAAACAGTAAATGCAACTAAAAGAGTCTAGGAACAAAAAATTCCATTTATCCATGGGACGCCTGGGTGGCTCAGTTGGTTGGACGACTGCCTTCGGCTCAGGTCATGATCCCGGAGTCCCGGGATCGAGTCCCGCATCGGGCTCCCGGCTCCATGGGGAGTCTGCTTCTCCCTCTGACCTTCTCCTTGCTCATGCTCTCTCTCACTGTCTCTCTCTCAAATAAATAAATAAAAATATTAAAAAAAAAAAAAATTCCATTTATCCTAAAAATGAGCCATTCTATTCTCTCCCAACTTCAGAATATTCTAGAGGATGCACGATGGGTGAAGGACAAGCCCTTTAATAAAGCTAATAACTATTTAAAGAAACTTTCTTTTCTTTTTTTTTTTTTTTTTTTTTAAGAAACTCTTAAAGAGCAAAGACCATCGTCTACAGACCTAGTGAATCATGGATGTCCTTAAATAACATCTATGATGAACAAGGTACTCAAAATAAAAATCTTCACATACCTTTATTAGTCTGGATATTAAGAATCCTCCCTGGTATCGATTATAAAGTTCTTCCCAGTTGTCTTTTATAAACTTCCAAGCGGCCTTCCTTCCATGCTTGCTGCCTCCAGCCACTCCACCAATTACTGATACAGTGTCCTGTGGACGTACCTCTTCCTAAAAATAGAAAGGGAACTAAAAATCTACTGTACTCAAAACATCTTCTGGTGCTAGAAAGGGCAGATACTTTCGAGGTACCCAAGCAATCACACTGAAGACCCTCATTCCTTGTTTTAGGAATAACTGGCACCAGAAGCTTCTGGCAAAGAGAAGAATGTTTAACCTAAAGATGAGCCAAATTGAGAATGAGGCATTGAGACCTGTACAGACAGGCTGCTCAAAAGATACTTGCTTAGGTTCCTCCAGGGTAAAGAAAGGAAGAGACAGAAGGTAGGTACTGGGATAATTATGCTTTCCAGTTTATTTCTGCCTCCAACTATTCTGATTCTCACCATCATGGGGTGGTATACAGGTCAGTAACAAAAGCCCATTCCATTTTCCCCAGACTAAGAGGAAGCCTCAGTTTAGGGTTAAAGCAGATCAAGAGGAAACTGAATTAAAGACACTTGCCACAGATCAATGGGTTACAATTCCCTCTGTAGGCAGTTTTTGTTGTAACTTACTGAAAGTGCAAACGTGAGGACTTTTTGAATCAATTCAGGTGAAAGAGTAGCCCCAAGGACCCTTTCAATTCGGTTTTTCTCTTCCTGCATATCTGCTTGTTTGTGAAGCTACAATGAAAAAATAAAGATATAGTTAACTCTCCCCTAGAAGTTATGCATATGTTTGTGTGAGCTTCTCCCCCAAACTTTTTGCTCTACATTCTTGCTGACTGAGACTGCACAGTATTAAATTAACAAAAGGAAATACTTTTTAAGATGTTCAGGCACTACATTTTTCATATGCCAATACAGTAAGTCACTATGTAAGTCTGTACTATGTGAATGGCTTGTCATCAGTTCTGAGCAGTCTAACATCAAGGACTGAGGGATATATGTCTGACTAATGTTCTATGTTAGATGAATAAACTAATCATCACTAATACCACTGAAGGTCATCAATTTAATTTCTAACAGGAAAAAGTAAACGTTAATTTAAAAAAAGGACTTTACTTATTTATTTGAGAGAGAGAGCATGAGAGGGGGGAAGGTCAGAGGGAGAAGCAGACTCCTCGCTGAGCAGGGAGCCCGATTCGGGACTCGATCCTGGGACTCCAGGATCATGACCCGAGCCGAAGGCAGTCACTTCACCAACTGAGCCACCCAGGCACCCCAATAAACGTTAATATTAATTCATGAGTCTCTGATCAGTGGGATTCTGTATCATCACATTTTTTTTTTTAAAGATTTTATTTATTTATTTGTCAGAGAGAGAGAGAGCGAGCACAAGCAGGCAGAGTGGCAGGGAGAGGCAGAGAGAGAAGCAGGCTCCCCGCTGAGCAGAGAGCCTGATGTGGGGCTCGATCCCAGGACCTTGGGATCATGACCTGAGCCGAAGGCAGCAGCTTAACCCGCTGAGCCATCCAGGCACCCCTATCATCACATTTTTAACTGCAAAATCAGCACATGCTGAACACAGAAAATTGGGAAAATAGAGAGGCATAAAAAAACAAATTAAATTATCGGGGCACCTGGGTGGCTCAGATGGTTGAATGCCTGCCTTCATAATCATAGGTCATAATCTCAGCATCCTGAGATCGAGCCCCACATCAGACTCCCTGCTCAGCGGGAAGTCTGCTTCTCTCTCTTCTTCTACCCCTCACCCTCACTCATATTCTCTCTTTCTCTCTCAAATAAGTGAATAAAATCTTTAGGGGAAAAAAAAAAAAAAAAAAGAAGGGGCGCCTGGGTGGCTCAGTAGGTTAAAGCCTCTGCCCTCGGCTCAGGTCATGGTCCCGGGGTCCTGGGATCAAGCCCCGCATTGAGCTCTCTGCTTGGTGGGGAGCCTGCTTCCTCCCTTCTCTCTCTGCCTACTTGTGATCTCTGTCAAGTAAATAAATAAAATCTTAAAAAAAAAAAGATAAAAAATTATTGATATGTACATTACCAATCAGAAATAAGACCCCCTTATAGCTGCTATTTTGTGACCTTTAAAAAATATTTAAATTACAGGTAATTTTATTTTCTTTATACTTTTATAGCCTCTAAATCTTCCACAGTGAATATACCAAGTCTTTTTTTAATCATCAGAAGCAAAACATTATACATGTAAATAATTAGAATTACAAAGGTGTATGAGATACCTCTCCAAGACAACTTATAGATTCTGCTGATCATCTCTCCCACTGACCAGTGTCTGCAGACCCCATCACAGGTCCCAGTTTCCCCTTCCTTTCCTTTGGACTCTTGAGCAGCAATGTGGTAAAATAAATAGGAAGTCAGGAGATCTGGGTTCTAGTCCTAGTTTTGCCTCTAACTAGCTGTGTGATCTTGACTAAGTCCTTAACCCTTCTGGATCTCAGTTTCCCCAGCTGTAAAATGAGTGGGATGGACAGATAATTTCTAAAGGTCCTTTTCAGCTCCAATACTCAAAGTCTGAACTCTGGCTTTCAGGAAGTATTGTTTTCCCCGAGGAAAACCTGTTACACTTGACCACTAGATGGCACCATAACACCACATTCCAAATACACTTTGAAATAAAAGTTTGGTTTTGTTTTTTTCAATCCTGCCTCATTATTCCTAAATTACCAACAGAAAACAATCCCCCTCATCTCCCATCAACTGGTTCCTTGAAGAAACTTAATTTGGTCTTCATTAGAGCTCTGCTTATAGTAAAGCAGAACTACAGTCAGCTCCCTTGTATTAACAGATACAAACACTTACTAAAATATACATAGTAGTGTAAGTTCTTTAAAGTAGTCCAGGACATGAAAATGCCCAGGTTATCTGTCACGAGAATTCCAGAACCCCTATTTTTGTTCCATACTTTTATGGAAAAGACAAAACCCACAAATACCTGATTTCATCTACAAAGAAATACATGATTTATAGCGCACAGGTTCACAGAATATTAAGAATGAGAAACGACCAACCCAAAGTATAATTTTCCTATTATTAGAAAGGAAACTCTTGCACAAGATCAGTAAAGTGGCACATTTTGAGTTTCTTAAAGTTTCTATTTTTCAAAATAGTTTAGTCATTTAAATAGGATTTGTTTAAAACTAAATACTAGAAATTAGATTTGTAATTCTGATCCACTTGAGATCAGAAATGTTCTTAATCCATTAAGGATGGAAGTAATAAAGCACATTTCATTCCTGTTCTGGTTGTTCCCCTCCTAAAGTGCGGGTCTTTAAATGAATGGGCTTTATAGGTCTGACAGGTAATTTGGATATTTACACACACTTTGCACATTTTATTTGATGGTAATAGATTCAGCTCCCTCCACCACTGATGCAATCAGAATAGTCCAGTTATTTCTTAGATTGATAACTACATGGACAGGGACTTAGGCAGCACTTGTTCCAAAGTATTAGTATTTGAGTTTAATTATATGCCAACCACCCTGGGAAAACTACATAGGCAATGCAGGCAGGTCAGTTAATTTCCTGTCCATTCATAAATGGAGCACTGGTATAGCTTATATCCTGAGATAAGTGATCATCTATCTGCTTTCTCTCTTTAAAGGATTTTATTATTTACTTTTTATTTACTTGACAGGAGAGAGAGCGAGCACAAGCAGGGAGAGCAGCAGGGAGAAGGAGAAGCAGACTCCCCGCTAAGCAGGGAGCTTGATGCAGCGCTTGATCTCAGGACCCTGGGATCATGACCTGAGCCGAAGGCAGACACTTAGCTGACTGAGCCACCCAGGCGCCCCCATCTATCCCCTTTCCAAGCACAGACATAAACCTTGGGAAATACCCTAGTAACTTTACACTGAAGGGAAAATTTTTAAGAACCTGACATGTTAATCAAAATGAACATTTCAATTTTTATATTTAAGGTGCATAAACTTATGAATAAAAAAAAAGAAGTGAAATTAGATGACTTTTGGCACTGTATTGGTAGTATACATGAACAGACATTATGTATTTCTCCCAAGGTTTCTTTTCTTTTTGAGAGAGAGAAAGAGAGAGCGTATGTGCACATGCATGTGGGGGGTGGCGCTGAGGGAGAGAGAGAATCCTAAGCAGACTCCCTGCCAAGTGCTCAGCCCGACACAGAGCTCCATCTAATGACCCTGAGATCATGACCTGAGCTGAAATCAAGAGTTGACTAAGCCACCCAGGCGCTCCTCCCATAGTTTCTTAGTATCTGCCCGTCTGCAGTATGCATATCTGCACGTATGTCTTTTGCCCAGACTTTTAACCACCTAACAACGCGCATCATCTCTGTGTCAATCCCTGTTAAAGAGCAGAAAATGGGAGCCCTTCCCAATTTACTCACCTTTAGCATAATGTCTAAGGTAGTGCCATCACCATGCTTCAGAACAGTCAGATAGACCTACAGAGAACACAGGAACAAAAAAGAAGGCATCTGATTAAATGTATCTTCTTCCAAATAGTCCAATGTTAAGAAAAGACATAAGGCGAATCAAACAATTTATAAATAGCTGTGTGTGGATGTTACATACAAATTGTGGCAAAGAGCTTAGAACCCACACTGAGAAGCAGCAAGGCAGACAGCGCGTGGTGAGTAAGAGCAGCACACACCCGCTCCCTCGGGGAAATGTGCGCTGATCATCACCTTTCAGCACCAGAGTCTGGCCTGAGAAAGTTAGACAAAGGACACGCTGGCTACAGAACACTGAATGCACCCATTAAATCAGAATCAGACAAGATTTGTGGGTCAGTACTTAGGTCATTTTTGGTTCCCATTAAACACATTCCACAGTATACACAGAATGATGCAGTCACTTAGAGATCAAGGTTATTCATCATGAAAACGTACAGGACTCCTCAGATCAGCGGAGAGAATCTGTTTCCCTTCTACATGGTCCTTAAACCGACGACGGGCTTCTTCTAACGTTGCCTTATGTCCTGCTTTTCCTAGTTTGCCCAGAACCAAGCCCCTCAGGAGTGCGTCTAGATGACCTGATTAAGAAGTAAAAGAGACACGGAACTGCTTAAAAATCCTGTTTTCACAAATATGCTACTTGGCTATCCTGTAATTATGTTATACTATGTCTACCATCTTGAACAAACACAATCAATTACCTTAGTACTTGAGAGAACACCTGATTTACATTACTCAAATCACAAGAGTGAAATGAAGTACTAAACAGATTAGCTAAACAAATAAATTTGCTGACTTTGTCTACAAATGTCAACGATCTGAATTTATTAAATGTTTACTATCTAGGAAAGTACACTGCTAAGGACTGTATGTGAAAGGAAGAGGCGGAACAGGCTTAGATCATGCGGTTTTGACCCAAGATTCAGAGAAAGATCACATACGGAACTAGTATGCTGTGTATAATAAATTGAAATCTTAGATTTAAAAATCAACTTCTGATGGATCTATTGACTCCAAAGATGTGTAAATGTGCAATAAGCACATAAGGAGAGGCTCAATATTGGTGATTAGGGAAACACAAATTGAAACCACAGTGAGCTGCCACTTTACACCTACTAGGATGACTGAAGACAGGCAGACAATAACAAGCACTGTTAAGGATGCAGAGAAATTAGAACCCTCATACATTGCTGGTGGGGTGTAAAATGTGTGGCCACTTTGAAAAACAAGCTGGCAATTCCTAAAGAGGTTAAACAGAGAGTTACCATATGATCCAGCCATTCCACTTTTGGGCATATACCCAAGAGAAATGGAAGCATTATGTCCACACAAAAACTTGTTTATACACATGTTCACAGCAGTATTCACAGCTGTCAAGTAGGAACCATCCAAACATCCATCAAGTGATGAATATACAGAATGTGGTATGCCCATACAATAGCATATTACTCAGCTGTAAAAGGAATGCAGTACTGATAGACAATGCAAAATGGACGTACCTTTGAAACATTCTGCTAAGTGAAAAACACGAGACACAGAAGGCTACGTGGGGTAGGAGTCCACACATAAGAAATGCCCAGAGCAGGCAAATCCATAGAGACAGAAAGCAGATTAGTAGTTGCCAGGGACGGAGGTTGCCAGGAAACGGGAAGTGACTGCCAACGGGTAGGGAGTTTCTTTTAAGGCTAAAGAAATTGTTCTGGAATTAGATATGGGGATAGTTGTGTAACCTTGTGAACAAATTAAAAAAGACTAAGTTGTATACTTTTAAGAGGTCCACTTTATGATATATTGATTATATCTCAAAAAAAGAAAGTTAACACCAGCAATGACGGATTGCAATACCAAAACGGACAGGTAAGTCGTGGCATATTCATACAGTGAATACCACTAAGCAATAAAAAGGAATGAACACACTGGATGTATCTTAAGTATGATACTGAGCGAGAGAAGCCAGAGAGAAGAACAGAATATATATTAGCATTCCATTTATACAAAGTTCTAGAAGAGGTAATATTAACCTAGGGTGAAAGAAGGCAGAATAGTGTTTGCCTGCAGGGGACGGGCAGGGGACACCTGAGTGGCAGGGACTGACCGGGAAGAGGCCCTGAGGCAACCTCCTTTGGTGTCTGCATTTGTCAAAAGTCAGGGAGCTGTAACATTTACACTGTGTACCTTGCTACACCTAAATCGTACCTCGGTAAAAAGTAAGTTTAAGAAAACCACAGGAGATCAATAGATAACACAAGAGGACATCAGTGAAGAACCAATTTGTAATTTTGGCTCCGGTACTGACTTGCAAGGCAATGTTTTGTTATTTTGCTGTTTGGCCCTTCCAGCTATAAACCTAGAAAGCTAAAGAAAGACATTCTCCGTATTTCATAAAGCTCTGTTTGAGCCCAAAAAGTTTTACACATTATCACCATGACAAAGAAAGACAACATCCGCTAATTTGCCTGTAACTGTCTCCACATACCCTCTCCTGTCTTGTTTCTGGGATCTCTGTTCCTGCCTAAAGCCAGTCCTCCACTGGATCTGACTTCTCTCCATCACTCGGCCATCGCTCCGGCAATTACTCCCCTCTCTTCACGCCACGAATTTTTCTGTTACTATTCCATCACTGTCATCAGCACAAAAACATGTTATAAAATCTCCCACTTTGTTAAAAAAAAAAAAAAAAAAAAAAGTATCTCCACTCACCTAGCTCTCTCCAGACTACCCCCTTTCAGCAAAAACTCCTTTAAAAAGCTGTCTAAGTGTGTTGTCTCCTCTTCCCCTACTCCCAGTCTGGAGAACCCAAAACTGGTCACCACCACTCCACAAAATTTGCCAAGATAATCACCAATTCTTTACCTTGCCTGACTCAGAGCAGCATTTGTCATGGTGGATAACTCTCCAACTGTACTGCCTTTTTTTTTTTTTTTAAGATTTTATTGAGAGAGAGATAGAGAGAGAGTGTGCACAAGACAGGGTAAGGTCAGAGAGAAGCAGATTCCCCACTGAGCAGGGAGGGAGCCTGATGTGGGACTTGATCCTGGGAGTCCAGGATCATGACCTGAGCCGAAGGCAGTCATGTAACCAACTGAGCCACCCAGGCGCCCCTTCGTCTGCACGGCTTCTTAAGCTGCCTGGGACATCTCCTTGCTCCTGACTCTCTCACCTCACTGGTCAGTGAGTCTCCCCAGCTGATACCTCCTCTTCCACCCAATCTCCAAATCCTAGCCTAGCCTAAGACCTAGTCCTCAGACTATTCTTCTCTCCACCTACATTCCAGCCCTGCATGATCTCTAGTTTCATGGCTATATATACCATCTATGAACTAAGTGGATTTATTTGGCCTAGACCACTAGGTATGATACTCTCCACCAGGATGTTTAAAAGGACCTCACATTTCTCATGTCTAAAACCCAACTCCTGATTGCCTCCGCCCCCAGCCTGCTGCTGTAGCAGTCTTCCCCATTCCTGCAGATGGCAACTTCACTCCTTCAGTCTCAAGGCCAGAATGTGGTGGCTCCTCTCACTCCACCGCAGCCAGTCCACCACCAAACAGATTCAGTTCTGCCTTCAGAACAACCACAGAATTTACCACCTACAAGTGCAAGCTGCAACCAGTGCCTCAACTGCACTTTGTAACCTGTCTCCCTGCTCCTTTCTCTGGGCTCCCAACTCTGGTCTGGTTTCCACAAAGCAGAGTATATCCAGTCATGTTCTGCTTCAGCTCTCAAGTTCACTTCTCATATCACTAACTGTGAAAATCCAAAGTAGTGTACAAGCTCCCATAGGTCCTACAGGAGCTGAACCGCTTCCCACTCCCTGTCTCCCTCACTATTCTGTCCTCACTGTTATCACAAGGACCCAAGCATGCTCCTGCTGCAGGCCTTCCGCACTGGCTGTTCCCTGCTGGACCCTTTCCCTCTGGATGGCCTCCCAGCTCTCTCTCAGAGGTCTCTGCTTATGCACACACATCACCTCATCACGAGGGATGGCTGCTCTGACCACTCGATGAGCTACCGGCCTCCTCCTCTTTGGCTACCTCACCTATCTGGATTTTTCTTCATGATGTTGCTGCCACCTAAAATATCATGTATTTAATGATTTGCTGTGCCTCCCACTAGAAGTAAGCCACACAGAGCAATGCTTTCTTCACTGCTGTACCACCAGCTCCCAGAATAGAACCTGGTTATTTACTAGGTGCAAAAGTATTTGCTGAATCAATGAAGGGAAAACACAGAGCTCTAGGTAATTGTTAATGCTGCTCTTACTGCAAAAGACCCCCTCCGGGACAAGACTGCTCGGGAGGGAAATACCATCTTTAGTTATTTGCAGATGGTAGAAAATAATTATATATAAAGCCTTCAGATCACCTACCATTCCCAACATGTACAGGACAGCAAAAGAGTAAATATGTGATTACAGAAATAATCAGAGGAGAGAACACATGGAAAAAGTAAATAACTTCCTTAGTTCAGGTACTGTCTCTCAGTGTCTTTACAAGTTGTACATGTAAGGTGCCTGGAATTTAGGGTAATAATAAATAAAATAATCCAAAATTCCCTTTAGCTTTCCTTGATTATAGATAGGCCTTTGGAACTCTGTAAAAGATTTCTATTTCCACCATTTGATTTGTTTACAAATCATATTTAGCCGTGAATACACATAACCACAACTGTTTTTACTTTGCGACCCATGTAATTTCACCAATAAACTTAAATTAATTTCTGGTGAGTTGAATACATAGTAACATCCAGCAGATACAAAAACGTTACTGATACTGTTAACAACAGCTGAGTAAAAAAGGATCAATTTCTCCTCCATTACTTCCCCATTCAGCACACCCATTACCTTCTCCAGGTTTGGGGTCCCAGCCCAGTCTCTCCCCTATAGGTGAAAAGACATCTTTCACAAACTCCTGGATTTCCTCATAGAAGTCTGTGTGGGACAAGAGAGTTGAGAGAATCCCCAGGTTACAGCTCAGGTCGCTCCACACAGTATAATTGGGCTCATTCACAAAAGCCTCCATGACTTTTAGAACCTCTACAGTGCTAATGATTCCAGCTCGAGCCTGGGATAGGAAAAAACATAAATTAATCTAGTCTTCAAACAAAAACTAAAACAAAAAAACATAAGCATGCATTTTCAGCATTATCTACTGCTAGTCAGTCATGTCTCTGGTTTAAAGGAAATGGGGCTATATAAATTCAAGGGATTATTTAAGTAAAAATGCTATCATGACAACATTCCTTATTTACTTTTTTTGCTATTTATAAAAGAGCCAAGTAAGGAAGCACACTTGGTCTGGTGACAGATGGTGGCTACACGTGCAGTGAGCGTGGCACGAGGCACAGACTTGTGGAATCAGTACGCTGCACACCTGAAACTCAGGTAACATTGTGTATCAACTACACTTCAAAACGAAAGAAAGCAAGAAGGAAAAAAAAAGAAAGCAAGAAAGAAAACAATTAACTTCTGTTTCTATCCAGTGTCTGAGAATTTTTAAAATAAAAAGAAAACCAAGGCCCAGACTTTCAGAAAAGATGCAAAAATAGTCAGGGCTTTGGCTTTTGACAGAGGCTCTTTCAAAATTGGACCTGCAGACTGTGTCAACGTCAGCCTGTCCTTCACTCATTTCTAACAGAAGGTAAACTGGAAGGCACTACAAATTCAGAGTCCTTTCAGAATTAACTAACAGAGCTAGGAAAAAGAACTTCTGTTACAGCAGCCAACTGCACAAACACAGCACTCTCCTGGGACAGGTCTCTCTCAGCAATGAGATCAGCAGATGTGAGGTTGTGTGCACCAATGCTAATCTGTGTTTATACAAGGGAGGAATCCAAAACCAGTTACTGCAGAGGGGAGGGAAAATTTCAAGTCCAATTTAAAGGAACACTAGGAGGAATCTGACAATTTTATCACAGACATCTGGCAATTATCTAACCTATGTTGGAGTCATAAAGATAATACTACTAATTGCTGATTTAAATCCTTTCTGGAACAAAGCCAAATATAACATAATTCTAAAGCTAATGGGCCATTATTATATTTGAGTAGCAATGGAATGTTAAAAAATACTAGATGTTTCCAGAGAAGTACAATCACTATTTTAGAACACATAAATCACTCTAAATTAATTATTTAAAAAAAACCAACACATCAGTAGGGAAATTTCTTCAAGGCTCATACCTATTTCTACCAAGAAGAATTTCTGCCTTACAAAGGGATAGTTTTAGTTGCAAAACCTGCCTTAGGAGTAGTGAGATGGGATTTGTTTCTGGTAAATTAGATGTGTTTAATCTTGTCTTGTTAATTAATAATTAGTCATTTGTTCTAGTCCCAAAAGGTGTTCAACCTTCAGGAAGAACCATATTCTTCTAATTATGTTTCAGTCAGACACTCCAGGAAAAACAAAATCCTTTAATCAACAAAATCCATCATACTACTTGAGGGAGGCTCACCAAGGAGAAGAGGTCATTCTGTAATCCAAGTCGATCCACAGGGGGCAGAGAAAGGTCACGAATGCCTGGTAATAAACTTTCCAGCATGTCTGAGCTATACTGTGTCCGATAAAATCCAACTGTTCCCAGGTTTAACTGAAAAGACACCCAATGGGCATTATTAATTAAACAGTTCCTTTTTTTTTTTTTAACAATATTTAGCAGGTGTGAAAAGTGTTCTGGGTTTTGTTTATCTGAGCAAAAACAACAAAGCTCACATATGCAGGCAGGGATGAACATGAAACAACACGTAAAGATAGAAATCGGTTGTCGGGGAGCCTGGGTGGTTCAGTTGGTTAAGCTGTCTGACTCTTGATCTCAGTTCAGGTCATGATCTCAGGGTCAGGAGACTGAGCCCCACATCAGGCTCCAAACTGACTGGATGGTAGGGAGAATGGGAGTCACATGGGCCAGTTTCTATCCACTCGCAGTGGACGGTTTTAAGTTTACAGAAAATATTTACTGTATGTAAGAGTGCATGGACTGTGGAATATCTGAGGAAGACTAAGCCTTTACACTCATCTACTCAGCCAGACTCTCAACAGAATAACAATGTTCGGGTCCTAGATTTTAAAGAATTAAGGAGACTTAAAAGGTAATTTCACATGATTTGTGGAATGAGGTAATCACGGACTGTCATACTCTCTATAAGCTATTTACCAATAGGCAAAAATATTTCTTTTTTAAAAAGATTTTTTATTAACATATAATGTATTATTAGCCCTAGGGAAAAATATTTCTGATAATACTTATATACAAAACACTTTGAAGGTAAAATAATAGCATAAGATATAAATATTTTTCTATTTATATATAAGTATTTTTTTAAAAAATCACCTCACAATAATACCACTGCTGTTTTATTGATTCCCTTTACCTTTCATTACAGGAATAATACCTTTATTTACGCAATTACAATCACTGCGTACATATGTTTTTCTCATTTGTAAGAAAAATTTCATACAGCTACATCATCTTCCAGATATAATTTCAAATGGTGGTAATACACTATTCCAGTAAGCAAAATATGTATTAGAACAAAGGGAAAATGGTTCTTTTCAGAAAAGCAAAGAAGTCTGAGACAACATATAATTCCTATTAGGAACCTATAACTGGGTGAAAAGTCTAGTAGATACTTTCATTATGAATGGTGCAGAGTACAGGATAATGAAAAATCATCTTTACCAACTGTTATTTTTTGTGAAATGGTTTCCCAACGTCAGTTACAGGATTTCACATTTCAGTGACACAAACTTATTATCATATGTCTGAGCTCACTTGATCACGGCTGTACATTTCCAGTGACAACACGTCCTCGAAGTTGACATCTCATCACAATGACAGTGCACTTTGAAGGTGCAGGACTACAGATCTTTTGGTTAATGTGACTTTCCACATAATCTACTATTTTTTCCCCTTTGATCCCATCTTTTAATATCTGCTTATCTATCACTTCCTTAACTGACATAAGGGAAGATATCTAGACCATATTATTTGAAAATTGGCCCTAAATTTCTGTCTTTGCAAGTCCTAGTCTAAACTAACACAGAATTTAGAGCCAGCCATAAAATGCGTAAGGGGAGTGAGAGAAAGCAATTTAGGTCAGATAAAAACAGTCAGGCCATTTCTAGACTCACCTTTACCCACTGGTCCGGTTTGACATTTTTCAAAACCACGTTCATCTCCGGCTTGTCCATCAGAATTTTCAGTTTAGCATGGTTGGGATCTTCGCTAGTAGAGATCGTGATAGGAACCATCCACTGGGGACAGTCTTCTCCTTAAGCAAGAGAAGAACGAATAGGAAACTTGAGAAATAGTTTGTCACTGGAAGAAAAAGAGGGTAAAGCGGAGAGAGAGGACAGGTGTCCTACACATGAACTTGAGTCTAACTGTTAAGCCAACAGCTCATGTTCAATGGTTCATAAACTCTTCCACAACCAGAATAATACTAGTATAAAGGAAGAGAGGATTTATTAACAAAATCACAATAGCCTAAAAAAAAAAGAGAACAGTTTATTCAGTTGTAGTATCACAAATATAGTGATTTTAATTTGCCACTTTCCCTTTACAGAGCAATAGAGACAGTAATGATTTTACTGTTAAGAGAAATTTCGAGTAGGTAAAAGCTCTCACATAGCATTTAAAAACATTCTAAGGTGCAGGTATATATACTGCTGAAACACTGAAGGGTTGATTTTATTTCTGTGATAGACACGACAATCCCTGGAGCTGATGGATTCTACCACTAAAAAGTGATAGCTAAAAGTCAAAACTTTTTTAAGGCAGATAACATACTGCCTTTGAGGTATCAGATAGCAAAACAGACTCTGAATTAAGATACTGAACAGACTAGAGTTACTGCCCAGTGCATTAATGTAAACTATTAATAAGTTATATACTTTATGCTATTAGGCTAAATGACAAATCAGAATTTTCTTCTAATGTTGGGATAGTTCAGGTTTTATTACTACCTATACTGGTCACAGAGTGTTTGAAAAAACTGCAAATCCTGTCAGTCCTACTATGCAGACTGTTATGAGGCAGCAAACAGAAAATGTAACACTTCAGGATTTATTTTGGATAATAAACCTGTCATCTAACTTGTCAGACATAGTTATTTAAAGAGTAATTCTAAATGCTAAGCAAGGTAAGGATGGAAGGCTGTACCTCTTAACCCTAGTAGAGTGTACTGTAATTTGGAGGGTGGAGCATAAAAACGTATTGGTGATTCTGATATACATCTCCCCTTATTAAGAAATGTTATTTTAAAGGAGGTGAGAAAGGTACAGAGAAACACTTCTAATTTTCTGAGCAAAAGAATCAACGACCTGTAGAAATATTTGAAAAACCAGAGTCGAGTGGTGGTTAAAGGTATAAACTCATGTAATCCAACTATTTTGTTTGAATTCCTACTCTTTAACTCATTAGATAGGTGACCTTGGGCCACTTAACTAACCCAGCTTTGCCTCAGCTCCCTCATTTATAAAAAGGAAATAATACTATCTACCTAATGAGGTTGCTGAGACAATAAAAGAAGGATTAGTACTTCTAAGTACTACTAAGCTATACTGCTTAGCACGATAACTGGTACATAATAATGCTAAATAATGACTGGGCTTTATTTATTTACTTGTTCACTTACTTAGTATGCCCAAGAATTAAAAAAAAAAAAAATTAGCTACCCATACAAGTGTACACCAAGGCTTCTTTTAGGAATGAAGGCTAGAGACATTACTTCTTGGGTGTTCCTAATTTATTCCTTATAGCTTCCAATAATACACAGAAACAGGGAATTTCAAAAATCAAAGACTATCAAAACACTACAAATATCTCATGAATCTTTTTTGATTTCCTAGATTTCATTTTTATTTTATTACCATTACCTTATTTTTTCCTTATTTTTAATTCTATTAAAAATATTGAAAAATGGATTATTTCCTATTAATTGGAACACTACTCATATGGTATTCAAATTCATTTATCAGCTCCCACTTACAGCCACTTGCTTACCAACATATGGTCCACTGGCACAGAACTTCCTTTGGGACAACCTCAATAATCGGTCATCTTCTACCTAAAGAGGGAAAATAAAAGCTAAAATAGTAGTATTGACTTTTTTTTTTTGGTGGGGGCAGCACTTCTGTGACAAAACAGAAGGTGAAACCAGGACAGCCAAGTGTCTCAAACTGCAACGGTGATGAAGATGATGACACTACATAACGGGAGAAGACATCATTTCTCATTTAGGCCTCAAAATAACAATACTTTAAATAAAAGGCCATGTTTTACATAAGAAGGGATTTACACGCAGACAAGAACTTAAAACTATTACCACTTCCATAAGGATACATAATAAATAACAGTACAGCAAGCTGTTTTAATCTTTATAGAGGGGGGTTATGTCTTCAGACTCTTCCACTTCCACTTCTAAAAAGTGGCAATCTTAGATTAGCCTGTCAGGAATTCAAATTTTCAGAGTGACCAATAAACATGAAGAAGCACACAGCTTGGTTCAAAGGCTGAGCTTAAACCAACTCTGCAGTCCTGGAATAAACCCCACTTGTTCATTTTAGATTTACACCATGGGGTGCCTGGCTGGCTCAGTCAGAAGAGCAAGCAACTCTTGATCTCAGGGTCGTGAGTTCAAGCCCCACATGGGGAATAGAGATTAAATAAATAAATAAATAAATAAATAAATAAATAAATAAATAAATAAATAAAGAACATATCAGCAAGTTTACAGAGTTTTCCTTGGGGACAGTGAAAGTAGACAACAGTTTATTTTCTCCTGTAACTATGTATGATTTTAATGACGTGGGGGACAAACGGTCAGAGATAATATATCGCCAAGGAAACAATGCAAGGGCTGGGTTCAATGTTACCTAGAATACTAACATACAGAAAAGCAAACCTGATGGCACTGACTAAATTTCATTGCACGCAGCGGCGGGGGAACTGGAGGGTCTGTTGTAAGGTTACCTGCTCTGCTTCCACATAAATGAGGGGGAATCCCATCTGTTTGGTCCAAGTGTTCATCACTGCTGCTATAGGTTTACCACTGGCATTCTCTAAACTTTCCCAGAGATCCTCTAGAAGATAAACACAAACAATGAAAATCTAAAATGTTTACATTTTTGTTTTCCTAAACAAACCAAAAATTTTTTGTAACTCCTGACATCACATCACTAACCAATTCTTTTTTTTTTTAAGATGTTATTTATTTATTTGACAGAGATTACAAGTATACAGAAAGGCAGGCAGAGAGAGAGGAAGAGAAGCAGGCTCCCTGCTGAGCAGAGAGCCTGATGTGGGGCTCGATCCCAGGACCCTGAGGTCATGACCTGAGCCCAAGACAGAGGCTTTAACCCACTGAGCCACCCAGGCGCCCCTTTACTAACCAATTCTTTGGTTCTTTCAGGTTCAGGAGACAAACAGGAGGTCAAATTAATGTCCCCTCACTTCCACATTAAATAAACTCTATTACAAAAACTGGTCTTAAAGTCTAAGATGTTCTTAATTGTTCCAATGTACTAAAAAAAAAAATCACAAATTATAGGGGTGCCTGGCTGGCTCAGTCAGTGGGCCATGCAACTCTTGATCTCAGGGTCATGAGTTCGAACCCCACGTTGGGCCTAGAATTTACTTAAAAAAAAAAAATTATAATAAATAAAAGATAAACAGGTGAATTCAAACAAGAAGAAATAGAAACAAATAGAAACATATTCAAGATCACCCCTAAACAATTCATATAAAACCATTATACCCAAAAAAAAAAAAAAAAAAAAAAACCATTATACCCATTCGATTAACAGAGGTTAAAAAATACTCAGTGCTCTGAGGCTGCAGTAAAACTCACACAGTCAAACAGCACTGGTGGTCAAGTAAACAAAAAAGCAATACACTGTAATACACACTAGAAGGAGGACATGAACAGAGGAAAAGCCTTTCAAGAAAAATCCAAAAAAATAAAGGCTTCATGAGAGTTGGACTTTTGGTCTGCATTTTGAAGAGTTGTTCATTAGACTGACAAAGGGAAAAGGGCAATCCAGGTAGACAGAATAAATGGCCTATGTACAAAGAAGAAAGTATTAAGAAAAGACAGAAAATATCAGCAACAGCAAACGTTCAGTAAGCAGAAGACAGAGGCCCAGGTGTGGGAGCAGTAGGCAGTGAGGCTGAGACAGCAGGCTGGGCTAGCGGCCAGGACCCCGAGGGGCTCTACTGTGCAGGGGAGTAAAGTATCGCAAGTGTTTTTAATCAGCAGGTGAGGCAGTCAGAGACTTGATTTAGAAAGATGACCCTGGGCAGCCTCAGAGTGAGAGAGAAAACTGAAGAGAGTGGGGCAGGCAAGAAGTACTAAGCTGGTAGGCAACTATGGAGTTCAGGAGAGAGATCGTGAAGGCATGGATTAAGCAAAGGGGAGTGAGGAGAGACAATCAAAACCATGGATGGGGGTTGCACTGTGTCTGAACTACCAACTGTCTTTCATAACACCAGCAAACCAAGAAACGGTACAAGGTAGGCCTCGCTGTGCAAAGGGTGGCATCTCAACCAGAGGCACTGGCTTTGCCCGGAAGCTTGTTAGGCAGATCCTCCGGTCTCTCCCCAGACCAAATGAACTACAAACACTTCCGCAGACCCTGGGTCATGGCGTGTATGTTACAGCTTAAGCACTATAAGGTTCTGTCCTCAGGTATTACATGTATGCATGCTAACGACTCAAAACTTACAGGAGCACATTTCCCTGTAGCTCTGCTTTAAGGAATGGAATGCCTCTCTCTTTTGTAAGCTTAGATGGAAATTACGGTGGGAGGTTGGGGAGGTAGGAGGGGATAGTGTCAGGCCTACATCATGTCCTGAACAGAGAGGCAGATATACTGTATTTTTAAATTCATGGGTCACAAACCTCAGAAAAAGCCCATGGCCAGCCCTCTCTGAACTTCTGTCATTCTATTAGGTATTAGTGACATTACACAAACCTTGCTTTTAAACTATTTTTGTTCACTGAAGAACTCAAAACTCCAACTCTGGCTCTTTTTTATCTTTAATCAACTCATACCTTTATTCTTTCTTTTGGCTCCCATACACAGTAAATCTCAGACCACTATACACTCTAAACCACTTAAAAATCTTAAACCTTCACTCAAACTCACTGAACTAGTTTCATAAGTTCACTAAAAAATAGTTAATTTGCAGCAATTTTACTTTTTTTTTAAATTTTATTTTTCATAAACATATAATATCTTTTTATCCCCAGGGGTACAGGTCTGTGAATCGCCAGGTTTACACACTTCACAGCACTCACCATAGCACATACCCTCCCCAATGTCCATAATCCCACCCCCCCAACCCCCCTCCCCCCATTAACCCTCAGTTTGTTTTGTGAGATTAAGAGTCACTTATGGTTTGTCTCCCTCCCAATCCCATCTTGTTTCATTTACTCTTCTCCTACCCCCTTAACCCCCCATGTTGCATCTCCTCTCCCTCATATCAGGGAGATCATATGATAGTTGTCTTTCTCCGATTGACTTATTTCGCTAAGCATGATACCCTCTAGTTCCATCCACGTCGTCGCAAATGGCAAGATTTCATTTCTTTTGATGGCAATTTGCAGCAATTTTAATGGCCAATGGTCAACTTAGGCCAAAAAAACCCCCAATGAGCCACCAAAAAGAACAAGTTCTGGTAAGGTAAACTGAACTCTTCAGACTCTCTAAGGTATCAGGACATTGAGCTACGGAGAGCAGAGTCCTGGAGGGGACCGGTAGGATAACAGGTTCTGATTCATGCTGATCCATCACATAACACATGGCACCAAACAGGTCAACTTTGTTTCCTATCTATCACATGGAAGGTTAAGCATTTGGAAAAAATGGAAATGTCCCACTCTGGATAGAGTGCCAACACCTCCTCTTCACTGCTATTTCAAGCTCTTAAAGATTACCTGTGGCAGCATTCTTTTGTTGGAACTTGGTTAAATACATGTTCATTCCTTTCTTAAAGTCCTGAGAAAACACAATTTTTAAAATCCAGTGGATTAAGACCTTGGAATTTATAGTGTATTTGCATATTAGTACTCAAAAGCTAACTTAGTCAAATCAGCTGAGTGTCAGACTTACTGAAAAACAACTATCTGTCATAATGTCTACTGTCTTTTACTTAAGTATGCATCCTCTTTGCCTTGCATGTCTGTTTTTAACTTTTATACCAGCCTCCCACACATCCCCCAAACACATTTATACATCATTCATCTAAGAGACCGTAAGAGTCAATACTAAAAAGAAAAGAAGATAAGCCAGATCAGGGTAATATCCTTCTAGAGTCTAGAAAAATTACTTAGGAACTTAATCTAAATAAATGTAGACACTTTTTTTTCCATGCAAAACACTGTGATTTCACCATAAAAGGATGGAAGACTTTTTAAAATGGCTTTTTTACCTTATCCCCAATGTAGTCATGGAGCATTCGGATGACAGATGCACCTTTGCTATATGATATAGCGTCAAATATCTCATCAACTTCAGCAGGATGGCCCACACTGACCTGGCAGACAGTGTGATTCAGGGTTATGACAGGAAACGAACAGCTTCTAATACCGAATGACATAAAAAGCTTTCTAGGAAAACCCTCCTAACTCATAAGACACTCTTTCCACCTTTAGCTCACTCATGAATACATAATGATGACCCTTAAAAAGAGCGTAGTAACTAACAGTAATAAAGTGGAGCATATAACATGATCCCCATCATCTCTGCAAGTCTTGGCTTGGCTTTGCCGCGAGGCAAATCACCATGGATCTTTTTATTGGGGAACTGGGAAAGGGAGGAAGGGAGAGATGAGAAATATTTGATTTCTTGCAACTGTAATGGCTTACAATTACACAGGAGCCTAGTTAAATATGCCAAAGTAGACTGTAAGTCTAGTTCTTTGGAGGCAAAATTTGTCCATCTAAACTAGCCAAAATAAGGACAGGTTAAGTCAAAAGAAATAAAATATATATAAAAACAGACAATGACAACAATAAAAGAATATGTTCAGAGTTTTCTTTGAAACAAACAACAGAATCATAATGTTCTTTTGTGCATACTGCCCAACAGGCATGGTTCTCCCATACTAGTCAATAAAAATGTATTTAATGAATGCTTATGGGTATATAGCACTTGCCTCCACAAAGATAAAATTCTTACGCTGCCTACCTTAAAAAGAAACATAATAATATATTAAGTCTTGTGAGATTTCAAGACTGAAAACATGAACTAAAAAAAACAAGTGAATTGTCCATGCAATTTTCTTTTCTTTTCAGGCTCCTAAGTATCTCTATAAAAAATTACTTATTTCTTTAGAAATGAGAGCAAAGAACAATGGTTGAAAAGTATGGCTCACTTCAATAGGATGGCTGTTATCTAAAGCATCAAGCTCCTGGGCACGGGTGTAATCGGCAGATACAAACTGAGTCCAGATATCATACTCTGGGAAGCAGTGGTCTACACACAAATATTCAATCCATGATGCAAAGCCTTCATTTAACCAAAGATGAGTCCACCATTCCTAAAAATAAAAGAAATAAATGTATAAAGAAAACAAAATTTTTATCATTCCACTAATTTAAAAAGCTCACATGTCCCTCCCACTATACTCTACAACTTTTAATAAGCCAAAATTCAGGGAAAAACATTCAGTAAATAACTCACATCTCTAAACAGAAAAGATGCTTAAAAGAGATGCTAAGGAAGGCCAACTGGTGATTTTGGCATTAGGCCTAAGGGACATTTCAAAACATAGCTAAGTAACTCTTTATTACCAAAGCTAGGAAAAAATGGAAGGAAAAGGGAGGGAGTGAGGGGAGAAAGTCCTTATATGGAAAAGAGGAAGAGAACAGATAAATGTAGGCAAGAGACTGTATATATGGTCAGGTAAAATTTAGTTGAATAAACCAGAAAGCTACCAGAACCAAACAAGGAAAACTGGAAAAGATTTCCATAATGACTGACTGACAAGTTAAAACTTTCTAGATAAATAGAAAAGCAGTACTGCTTATACAAAGATTAGGTAAAATTAACAGAAGTTTCATGGCAATAAGTAGTTCAGTAATGAACGGTGTTTAAGTACTTATAGATTATAAAATTCTTACCTGCTAATAAAATTTAACAGTAAAATGGACAAAGAATATAAATGAGTCAAAGATAAAACCAACTTTTAAAAAAAATCAACTTTTTAGAAAGAGATTTTATTCTAAGTTTCATTAAAGTTGATTAAATCTCTTACAAAAAGAAAGCAATATAAGAGCCCAAGATATATGCTAAAGGACTAATGTAATAGTGAAAAGAAAAAAGGCATTTAAAATTCTGAAAAGATCAAATATTTTCAATATTAAGTGATGAAAGCCTATCTGTCTAAGTGGTTTGTACACTTACTTAACTAGTAGCTTCCAAGAAGATAAGCTGGTACAGAGCTAGTTACTCACCAACTTATCATGAGCCCTTAAATTTCAGTTAAAGAAACAACTGACATCTAATAACTATAAGGTCACTCAAATTCAGTAGAAAGTTATTTAAAAGCTATATGAGAATGTGCACATTTTTCCTACTAAAATTTATTGCTGGTAGTTTAAAAATAAAATCATAAAAAATAAAGACTGCTCAAAACTTAACAAAAAATTCGTAGCAACGAACTTGCTACATTTGGAGAAGAGAATATTTCTGTACATGTTGGAATACACGTACCAGCATACTTAATTCCACATGAAATTATATTTCAAAACTTTTTTTCACCCCTAAGTAAAAATTTAAACATCTAAAGCAAAAGGAAATGGTTTAATTTTAAGGGCTGGCGTTCTTTAAAAACTGTCTCAGACATGTAATGGTTGCTAAATGTCTTACTGTCTTGCTTATTCCTGTGACATATGGACTCAACTAACATCCAAGTCAGGTTCTGCTCTTTGGCAGCCTAAAATGCTATCAGGGAATTTGGCTGGCTCCAGAACCTCCAGTTCTTTCCTTGCAGGGGTACTTCTAGTTCACTCATTAAACTCTGCTCCCAAGTTCTAACACAACTAGCCAACATAGAGAGTACTTATTTGGAGTGAGAGGGAAAGGTCAAGACTTGAGAACAGAGATCATTCACTGCAAACATAATAAACAATAATTTCAATGGGACAGCTGAAAATTTTATTATACTTAACAGTTATTCCCTAGTTTCGTTTCTATCAAATTTCAACTTAACATTTTAAGCAATGAGAAAACTGACTCCTAAAAACATTGCAACCTAATGGATTATGTTCAGGTTATTTTTCAGCTACTTAACTACATAGTAAATATGCTCAAGCAACTACAGTTAGCCTGGAATCTCTGAACCTAAGAGGAGTCTCTTTCTCTCACCATAGTATTATGACTTCACCATTTGCAGGCAAATTCTTTTTTTTTTTTTTTTTTTTTTTTTTAAGATTTTATTTATTTATTTGACAGAGAGATCACAAGCAGGCAGAGAGGCAGGCAGAGAGAGAGGAGGAAGCAGGCTCCCCTAGAGAGCAGAGAGCCTGATGCGGGGCTCGATCCCAGGACTCCGAGATCATGACCTGAGCCGAAGGCAGCGGCTTAACCCACTGAGCCACCCAGGCGCCCCTGCAGGCAAATTCTATAACAGTTTAGGAAATATTTTATGTTGAATAAAGACTGTCCACATTCTTTTGATTGACAAAGATATTCTGATAAACACTGCTGAGCAGACTTTCTAAAATAAAGATTTTCTCTCATTCATTTTTTAGTACTATGTTCCAGTCAAACCTGAAATACTATGTAGCCAAAATAATGTGCAGCAGGATGAAGATAAATATATTTGAGCACTTAAAAATATTAAATACCATAGTAACAAGATTTCCAAACCATTGATGGGCGAGTTCATGTCCCACAACCAGAGCAACCCACTGGCGTGATGAGGAACAGGAGTTTTTTGGATCAATAAGCAATGCAGTCTCCCTGTGTTTAAAAAAAAAACTTTTTTTAAACAATGTTAAGTATTACAATAAAAGGAGGCATACACAAATGGGGGAGGGAGAGTCAAACAGTAAATAAGATGGTCAAGTTAGGCTTTAGAGATATCAAAAAAACATTTCCTCAGAGTGCACAGAATAGAAAAAGTTCTGGCAAGATTAAGGACTATTCCAACAGAATTCATACAACAGAAGATCAAAGATGAGACACAAGTTTAATCATCAGTTTGTAAATAGGACAGTTGTCTGAAAGTTTTAAAAAAACTTAGTCTAAAGGATTAGGGATTATTGTGCTAGACAGAGAGAGCAGACAGTCCTCCCACTAAAAGAAGGGGAGTGGCAAACGGGGGGAAGATGCATTCCACAGTCCCAACAAGAACACTGAGCAGGCTGTCCAAAACTTAAGTCATCAAAGAAGGAGGGGCAAAAACTTGTTTACAGATCCTGCTTTAAAAGTTATACAACCCACATGTTTGTATTGTGGTGACAGATAAGTAAAAACTTAGCTAGAAAACATTAAAGCAGAGATCGTTCTTCAAGCTGGAAAAATAACTATGAAACTCCTGGGAGGAAGAGGAGGCACCAAAATGAGAAACTCAGCCAAAAATAGATCTAAAAATGTTACTAATGCCAGATGCTCACTTTAAAATCTTACAATCTGATAGTAGCACCAGAGGGTGTTCATCTGCGTTCCTGAAATGTGTGCAGAAGTGGGGGAGGTAGGAAAATTTACAGCAGATCATAAAGCAGAAGCTACTCAACTGTGATTAGGAGTGAAGCTCTTATGAAATGAGTGACTGAAAAGATAAGGCAGGGTAATGAATCATTAACATACCTATAAGTAACAAGGCCCCAGTTCTCCATGGCACCTTCATAAAATAAATATAAACATTTATTGATATATGTACATACTTCTTCCTCAAAATCACAAAATTCAAAAAAGTTATTACAATTCAGCAATAAAATGAAATTTACTTTACCAGCTGCAAAGTCTGCAATAGCAATGAGATCAATTTTAGGTAGAGGATAAGGAACATTGAAGTAGTCCTTATAAAAAGGCAGGGTTTTAGCAGCAACCTACAAAAGTATAAACAAAAGAACCATCTGATAAATATTTTATCATAATTCATATAGAAATCCACAAAGGAATCCTGTTGCAAGCCAAAGCATCTCAAGTTACTAGAAACCAACCCTGGGGAACCCTACCTCCAAGTCTTTGGCTTTTGTTATGTTGGCCAAACTTTAATCCATTTATAATATATTGGTATGAAAAATACATTACATCTTTTCCCACCCACTCTGTGGATAAATAAATTCCACTCTAATATTCTCTTAATCATTATCTTATAAAATGCTAATGTGACACCAAGGTTGGTAGCTTCAAAATTCTATTAAAAATAAAACCAAAGTACACAACAAATTTCAGACTAAATTATAAATAATTGTACTAATAATTGATCAGAAATGTAAATTCCCCAACCTGGAGTTATGGACTGTTGGAACAATCCTCTTCAAGTACATTTACCTCTAACGCAAATTTTCCTTGCTCTGCTTTGCCAACAGGGGTGTAAACACGGACACACACACCGTCTTTTGACCTTGTTTCTACAAAGTCATATTCACCCACAACAAATGCCACCAAATATGTAGACATGACAGGTGTGCGGGCAAACTTCACTTCCACTACATTTTCATCATCAGGGTATGGTTTCCGATCAATTACATTCTTTAAAAAAGAAAAGAAAAGAAAATTTAAACAGATTTACATTAAATATCTTAAAGCAAATACTAGCCAAAAATATGTGCAGCTTCTCCCTCCCCCTTTCCAGCACGGCTTACTTATCTATCCCAATTCATCCACTGCTTTTATGCTATCAAAATCTCTCCTATTAAGAAGGAAACACTAAGAAGTTGGGGGCTGAAGTGTTAAAACTACCAGGAATCTATGAGAGAAAAGAAGCAACTTTTCTTGAATACCTACTATATGCCAGGCACTGGGATGTTTTAAGTAAGACCTCAACACTTTCCAAGTGAAATAAGGATAGAAGGCAATAATTATTAATAAACGGTAATTGTGAAATCTACATTTCAAAGGGTACAGATATCTAAATTTAGAACATTCTCTACACCAAGACTGGCTCTAAGCAAATTTGTGGAGGAATCTCCAGTTTACCAATAGAGTTCCTAATTTCTCTTTGTTGTTACCAACCTCCAACCCCCTCTGCTTTTTTTCCTCTGCTTTTTTTTTTTTTTTTTCCCTATTCAGGCTCTCCACTTTTTCAAGACCTCTCTATTCTTTCTTCCAAGGAAGTCTTATTCAAGAACAGATGTGATAAATTCATTCATACTAAACTGTAAAATAATATTTCAGTTTAATATATTAGCCTCCTTTTTAGAAATATTTGAGAAGAGAACGGCATTCTCTCTATGAGAATGGAGGCATGGAGGCAGAAACCAGTTATGTTCAAAGTAGGCTTTTCCAAGTTCCCAGAGTCTTATGACCGGCTGTTGGGTACTCTCTGTGTTAAACAATACATTTCAAGAAGTAAATGCTTACTCTGTTTATGAAAGAGATAATGACATCAGTGAAGAGAGCATATTCTAAGAATACAATCAACCAGAAACCTAAACACATTTCACATATGGCTGTATCTTTTGGCATTTGATAAGAAAGTCAGATTTTTTTTCAGGCAATATTTATTAAATTCATCATGTTTTTAGTTTTCCAAATTTTAAGAAATTTCTTCCATGAGGAAGGAAACTCCAAATAAGGGAATTTAAAAAAAGAGGGCTTACTGGACATAAAGATGACGAATCTGTGCTCCTGTTATGTATCAAGCACTGTGCTAGATGGTTTCATGCTATTACATCTAACCAGCAAACTAAATATTCTAAACACTTGTTCAAATTTTCAATATACTTACATACATACATACCATGTTTGATAAAGCTACTCTGTCTTTAGGAACAACCAATGAGATATCAAAAGTTGCTTTGATGGCAGGCTCATCCCAGCAAGGAAAAGCCCTCCGGGCATCAGTAGCCTTAAAAAAGGAAAATGAAATATGAATATTGCTGAATTAACTTAACCGACTGTTTTATGAAGTAACTGTCATCATCTTTCTATCATCCATTCCTTCACTTGTTTAAATATTTACTTTTTACTCCATGCCAGCAACACACCAGGCAGTGACTACAGAGATAACACGGGGCGTATTATCCCTGCCACAGCAACAATGCAAAAACAAACAAAAACAAGCAATAACCCAGGAATTAGGTCTGCTACAGATCTTAATAATCTATAGTATTAGAATAATTTAGAATAATATATATTATTTTATTTTTTTTAAGATTTTATTTATTTATTTGACAGAGAAAGAGAGATCACAAGTAGGCAGAGAGGCAGGCAGAGAGAGGGGGAAGCAGGCTCCCCGCCAAGCAGGGAGCCCGATGTGGGGCTCAATCCCAGGACCCTGGGGCCATGACCCGAGCTGAAGGCAGAGGCTTTAACCCACTGAGCCACCCAGGCGCCCCAATATATATGTATTTAAAGATTTTTTACTAGAGAGAGAGAGAGAGAGCGCACGAGCAGGAGGAGGAGGAAAGGGAGATGTGGGGATCGATCCCAGGACCCTGGGATCATGACCTGCACCAAAGGCAGATGCTTAACTAACTGAGCCATCCAGAGGCCCCTAAATTTTTAACAGAACATTCCAACATTTCAAAAATCCAATGTTAATGGTTTCAGCAGTAATGTTCAAAACACAGAGCACAGGAAGGTCAACAAGTATACTGTAAGAATTTAGAGCTGGGAAAATAGGACAGATTGCCTCTCTGGCTTTTATTTCTTTTCTTTTCTTTTTTTTTTTTTTTTAAAGATTTTATTTATTTATTTGTCAGAGAGAGAGAGAGAGAGAGAGAGCACGCGAGAGTGAGCACAAGCAGATAGAGTGGCAGGCAGAGGCAGAGGGAGAAGCAGGCTCCCTGCTGAGCAAGGAGCCCGATGTGGAACTCGATCCCAGGACGCTGGGATCATGACCTGAGCCGAAGGCAGCAGCTTAACCCACTGAGCCACCCAGGCGTCCCTGGCTTTTATTTCAAAAACAAAAATATTTCCAGAATCTCTAATGTGCTTTATTCTTCATCTGAAATGATAACAACAGGAATAAAGACAGATGCTCTTATCAATTCTAAACAGGTCATTCTTTGTTTTTTTGTTGTTGTTGTTTTAAGGGGAGAAGGGGCAGAGGGAGAGGGAGAGAATCTTTTCTTTTTTAAAGTTTTTATTTATTTATTTGAGAGAGAACACAAAGGGAGAGTGTGAGAGAGAAGCAGACTCCCCGTTGAGCAGAGAGCCGGATGTGGGACTCAATCCCAGGACCCTAAGATCATGACCTGAGCCTAAGACAGACACTTTAACTGACTGAGCCACCCAGGGGCCCAAGACAGATAATCTTAAGCAGGCTCCCCGCCCAGCACAGAGCCCAACTTGGGGCTCAATCTCATGAACCTGAGATCATGACTTGAGCTAAAATCAGGAACTGGACACTTAACCAACTGAGCCACCGAAGTACCCATCATTTTTCTTTTTATTATTTATTTATTTTTAAAGATTTTATTTGTCAGAGAGCGAGCGTGAGCGCACACAAGCATAAGCAGGGAGAATGGCAGGCAGAGGGAGAAGCAGGCTCCCTGCTGAACAAGAAGCCTGATGTGGGACTTGATCCCATGATCCTGGGATAATGACCTGAGCTGAAGGCAGATGCTTAACTGAATGAGCCACTCACGTGTCCCAGGGTATCCATTTAATGGCATTTCCATATAGAACACATAAAACTGTCACCACTTGACCTACTTAATGAGAACTCGTTTTTTTCTTTAAATATAAAGAGGAAACCTGTTTTTTTTTTAAGAAAGAGCAACCTTGTTAAAGCAAAATAAAGTTTAGTCTTTGCAGAATTATCAGTTATAAGAGAAACTTTAATAAAACAGAATAAAGTAAAAAAAAAACAATTACAAGATTCTGTATCATGAAAAGAAGGAATAAATTATACAGAGGTATAGGAAGCACATACTTCTAGAAAAAAGTTTCTCTAAGGAAAATGCTAGATGGCTAACTGCACTCTCAAAGAAGTAAATGATGAATTCATTCAAAGAATAAATAAGACATCTGAAAAGTAAGTAGAGTGTAAGAAAAGGAAAGATAGCACAGAAAAACTGAACTTAGGAGCAGCAGCAGTAGAGAAATGAATTTATACTAGAGGAAATTAAATGAGTAACACAGATAACAAGATCTAAAAGTTTCTAAAAAAAGTTTCTAATACAGAAACTTCATCTGAGAGACAGACATCAGATATAAACCTATTATGAAAGAGCACACACCACAGTGAATGTAATACATAAGAGGAGAAAACTCGGCTACACTGAAGATCTAAATCTGAACATCAATAGGGTTCACCAATTACTATGTAAAGTTCATGAAAAGTGAACACCTGGTAAAAATTTTTTTAATTTTTAAGTACAAGGAAATAATTTAACAAGCAATCAGGAAGAAAGCAAAGCAAAGCAAAACAAAACAATGTTATTATACAAGGGAAAAAAAGATATTCCAGTCTGATTCTTCCCCTTGACAAGATGAGATATGAAAGACTATGGAACAACATTTATATACCTTTGAAAGAGAAAAACTATAACCCAATTGTATATACTGCTCTTACAGTTGAGAAGTTGGGTTTATTACTCATTGTAGCAAGGGAAAACTCACAGTAAGGGGAACCCTGGGGTGTGTGAGAAACAAGCTATCATATGTGTATTCCGGATTTGGCCCAGTGAATTGGGGGAGGATTTAGATTCACTGTAAACTGGGTGCTGTCAGAAAGTTGAGGAATTCTGTGGGTGGGCATCTCAACAGATCTCACCTACAGAGAGGGCAGACTAGACCAAGAATAAAACTGACACTGAGAAAGAAGTAGTAGTCGCTCATTTTTACTAAGAAAGGGAGCTGGTCGCTATTTCATGGGTAGCACAGTGGCCCTGCTTTTGTCTGTCCTTAGATGAAATTATGAAGCGCCCTTGTTTTGTTTCCCTTTATCATAGTCTCAGAGTAACCCTGCCCGAGGGTGGTGCTCTATGATGCTGTTACGTCAAAAAGGAGACCAACATGACTAGCTGGGAATGCTGGCACAACTTTTGAATGTTAGGGGCTGCTGCTCCTCCTTCCCCCCGCCCTCAACAAATCTATTATACACCCATTAAAACTGGTCATGTATTAAGCAAATGAAAGATTCTCAGTTGTGCAGAGACTCTGGAAGTATACTATCTACATACCCTCCCTTAAAAATATTTTATTGGAGAAATACTCCAGGCAACTATTGCAGGATACAGAAGTGCTTAAAGGGCTAAAGATAAGCATTAAAATAACTGAAACACAGAATTAAGCCTAAATAGTTATGGGAATTTTTAAAAAATATTTTATCTATTTATTATTTATTTAAATATTATTTATTTATAATAAATATAATTTATTTATTATTTTATTTATTTATTTATTTAGTAGTAAACTAGATCTGAAACTTTATTTTTTAAAAAGGACTGTATTTATTTATTTGAGAGAGAGAGCTAGAAATAGAGAGAGAGCACAAGCAGGGGGAGCTGCCGGCAGAGGGAGAAGTGGGCTCCCTGACCCCAGGATCATGACCCGAGTCAAAGGCAGACGCTTAACCAATTGAGCCAACCAGGCACCCCAATCCAAAACTTTAGGTGTGCAAAACAAACAACACAGAGATATAGGCAGAAACATAAAAACAGATATGATCAGCTATTTCATCATCCACACTGAAATGTACAGGACTAAAATTAATTAGATTTACTACTTAAAAGTACCACTAGCAAATTCAAAACAAGTTATGTAATTTTAATATACATGATAAATAAAAATCAAAGAAAGTGCAGATAATATAGTAAGATAAACAAATAGCAGAACATTTCAAAGAAGCAAAGGAATGCTATACAACATTGCCATTAATTTGGTAGGATAAGCCACAGGTATCAAATACTAAGAGCATAATTTTAATTAAGAAAGGTACACAGTATAAAAGCAATTCAGGCACTGAAATTCTGCTACATATATGCATGTATGCAGATGTATACATACATGTATATACACATACATGCATATATAATTTTGTCACATACATATTTTGTTACATATATACATACACATTTATACAAACATATGTAACAGAATTTCAATACCTGAATTGCTTTTATACGATGTACCTTTTTAAATTAAAATTATCTTCTTAGTATTTGATTCCTGTGGCTTCTCCTATAAAATAGTAATGCCGTTGTGTGTGTGTGTGCGTGTCCATTCTCCATCCTACATCTCTAATTCTGTCCCTCTATAATGGAGATAACTGGATGAGTATACAATAAAAATTCCAAAATCATGAATATAATCATGGCCAAAGGCACCTACCCTGAAATAATCACGCAAATAATGAAACAGAACTTTGTCAGAATATCTACTTTAAGTTCACAGCATTTTAGAGAAGAATACCATACCTCAAACTGTGTGACAGCAGCATAGCGCACCTCTCCAGAAGGGGTAGTATATTTACTTCTATAAAAACCTTTCATTTTGTCATTCAGCTCTCCAACAAAATCTATCTTTAAGGTTCCTGTACCTGTGATTGAAGATGAATGAAACCACTTAAATACAGATATTAAGTAAAAGTTATCAAAAATATGTCCTTAAGATACTAACTTATGTTCAAATCATTTTTTTTCCTTTCTCAAACACTTCTGGCAATGGACAGAATCTAGTATCTACTGAAAAATGGTAAACTAATCCTAAAGTGAACCTTAATATCATGTTTAGGGTGACTGTTTAGAAAATTCTTTAACTTTATTAACTTAATCTCTAATCACCAATCCATAAAGATAAAAACAGGAAAGGAAATGAACATTTATTATTAAATTTATGCCATACTACTGTGCATGGAGCCTTAAAAATATTTAGAAACTTGGAAGTAGTATAGTCTCCATTTTTTCAGATGAGGAAACTGAGGCTGAAAATTAAGTAACTTGCTTGATGTCACATGATTATTAAATAGCAAGAATGAGATAAAAAATTTAGGCCTGTTTAATCCAAAATTCATGTTCTTTGCCAATGATGCCACATAAATTGGTCCATTTAGAGGACTTCATGCCAATTTAAGACAAAAACCCTATCTGTTCAATCCAAATAGAACATTGATTCCATACTTTTGAAAGGAACTATATAGGGAAGATCAATGATTTGGCTGGTAAAAAGGCATTAAAAACTCTTACAGTCACCTCAATCATTTGAAATGATAATATTAAAGAAATACATTTATCCAATAATTACTAAATGCAAATAAAATGCAACATGAATGTATATTCCACTGTTGTATAAGGGCAAAACCAAATTAGACAAAATGGGAGTTTTGTGAATATATATACCTTCTTTCAAACAGGAAAGAGATGATAATATCTATCAGTCATCTACTAAATTCAGATGCATGACAAAACAATAATCCCCTTCTACATTTCACAAATTAAATCTCCCCAAAAAGCCAACCAGAAAAATGTTGACTTTTGATTCTTTAAAAAATGCCTATTTATAACAGGATCTACAGCATGGAAATCTAACAAATCAAAGACACAGTATGACTATAAAGTAATTAGGCAATCATTCCAAAACTTTTATATCCTAATGTTTCAAACTGTCATTTTGGAATGCCATAGAGCAATGACGCTGACATTGTTCAAAATGTTCTTAAGTCCCTCTCTTTCTGACATATCCTTTTGGATGTTTTCAGTCAGATCGCCACCTTCCAAAACCGAACTGACTTTTTTGAAAAGGTCCAAAAGTCATGAAGAGTCCAAGTCTACAGAAAAAGTGAATGACAAACTGCAAACTGTTTCTAGATAAAATGCTGTTGTTTATTAAGTATGTCAATTAAGTAATTAAAACGATTTTCACATGTGCTTCAAACTAGTTCTGAAAGTAACTTCAAGAGAAAATTTCAGGCCTCTGCTGTGAAGTCATCATCACTAAACAAAGCGCCGTATTCTTTTTTTTATTGTGCTCAACCTATGGCCTGAACTCACAACCCCAAGATCGAGAGTTGCATGTTCTGCTGACTGAGCCAGCCAGACACCCCAAAGTGCCATATTCTTAATGGAATCATGCTGGGGGGAAAAAAATTGAAGTTCATTTGAATAAATGTGTGTGAATCTTATTTTTTAAAAATCAGACCTTCTGTCTAAAGGGGACAATGAATACTCTCTTAAAGAGAATGACAGATTACTGGAACAGTAAGTAAGAATACCGTAAAAGAATGTGAAAGAATTCTTAATGATTGATACTAAAGAATTTAACTATAATATAAAATTTCTCCCTATTTTCTTTAGGAATTCAGTAATCTTTAGGAAAGCAGATATATATACATTAATAAAGTTTACAAGGAATATCTAGTACATTGTAAAAACTCACTGCATTTAAAGAGAAGTATTTGTTGGAATTTTATGTTGCAATTCCATAGATGGAACTGGCCAGTCTGTTTTCACTAGTCAACTAACATGTTAAGATTTCTTTTCTATAACTCATACTCCACGGGCAATCTACTTTTGTCTCTTCCTACTTGGAATAATAGGATTTAAAACTCATAACTAAATAAGAAAGACTGCTTACACTTTTACTTGGTTTTAAATCTCCAAGGCCATCAAACCATAACAAGATACTGATAGTGGCCACTTCCAAAAAAGTGGCATACTAAACAAAATACAAAGTATTGGAAAAGGTTATTACCTGAAATTCAAACAAAACACAAGTTAAAGTTTTAAAAAATCATAATAAATGTAACTAGTGTTATATTATACAATTATACTAATTACAAAATATTTACTATTAATATAGTAGCGTTATAGGGCAAAAACAGGAGAAAAAAGGCTTAATAAATGTCAACTTATCAAATTTACACCATACTGAAGAACTGATTGCCAGACTGTCTAATATTATACCTGTTTGCCCACATAATTTACATTGCTTCCTCACATTAGACACCCTATTTCAATATCCATTATACACAATATTTATCTGCTTGGGATGATAAACCTTTTAAAACATACAATAAGCTCATTTATAAGTTAAACAACTGGAAAACTGCAACTTCTACCAAAAGCCTTATTTCTTTAAAGCTTAGAAGAGTATAATTGTTGTAAAACCTGAAGTAGATCTTGAAAAACTTCAATAAAAATTTAACAAGCCTACTAAATACCAAAAAAAAAATTAAAGACAGATTAATTTGTATAGAAAGAGAGTAAATAAAGGTCTCTGCCTTTGTGTCACTGTTTCCTGTGATCCTGTTTTTCACTCTTAGAAATGTCAGTATCACCTATGTTTCTCCAAATAAACACCACTCTGTAGGATCCTTAACAGAAGATTATGAAGTTGTTGTCAGCTTACAATGATCACGGTAATTTAACCACTATTCTAGAACATGCCAATTCAGAAAAGAAAATGTTTTGCTTAGCTATGAAATAGCTGGCATGACTGTTAAGTCTGGTGAGGCTAAACACAAAGGTTACTAAGGTCCTTTCAATACATGCTCCAGATTTATTCCCTTACCAGAAGACAGAAAGTTTGTACAGCTTACCAAAACTTGAAAAAACATAGGTAATTGTGCTCCAGAGAATAGTGGGAAAATGTGAAAGCTGAAGATTTTCAAGCAGATAGTTACAGATGTTCAATACTCAGTATTAGTCTCAATCTCAAATAGGATAATTTCTTTTTTTTAAATTAAAGATTTTATTTATTTCTTTGACAGAGAGAGACAGTGAGAGAAGGAACACAGGCAGAGGGAGTGGGAGAGGGAGAAGCAGGCTTCCCGCTGAGCAGGGAGCCCAATGTGGGGCTCGATCCCAGGACTCTAGGATCATGAACTGAGCTGAAGGCAGACGCTCAACAACTGAGCCACAGGCACCTCAGATAATGTCATTTTTTAAAAAAGATTCTATTTATTTATTTATTTATTTATTTGAGAGAGCAAATGAACAAGCGAGCATGAGAAAGGGGAGGAGCAGAGGGACAGGGACAAGCAGACTCCATGCTCGGCATGAAGCCCAACTCAGGGCTCCATTTCACGACCCCAATATCATGATCTGCGCGGAAATCAAGAGCCCAACAACTGAGCGACCCAGGTGCCCCTCAAATAAGATAATTTCTAATTCTAATACTTACATCAGTTACTTTTTAATACTGTTGTATTAACTAAAAATCTCCCAAACTCTGCTGAATTCCAGTATACAAAAGGTCATAACCTTCTCTGACCTTAGAAATGACTTCACGATTTACCATGTCTGCTGTAAATAGTCCTCATCAAGAATGACAAAGCTCTTATATACTGATAGCTGACCCTTTTTAAAAAAAAAAAAGATTTATTTATTTATTATTTTAGAAAGATTGAGAGAGAGTGGGGGAGGGATACAGGGAGAGAATCCCAAGCAGATCCCCCCATTGAGCATGGAGCCCAAGGTAGGGGTCAACCCCATAACCCTGAGATCACAATGTAAGCTGAAACCAAGAGTCAGATGCTCAACCAACTGTGCCACTCAGGTGCCCCCGACCTCTTTTATTTACACACACACACACACACACACACACACACACGTAAGGGGGAAAGACGGATGCAGAATATGATAGATGGCATGCTAGTTTCTGTGTTCTTAAACAGTATATGCAGAAATGCTTACAAAACCATCGAATAGTTTTAAAAGGATACATAGGAAACTGGTTGCTTCTGAGAAGAGCTGAGAGAGGAAGAAAGGGCTAGGATGGCAAACACATTTCCACTGTATGTCATTTGATTTTTAAACCATGTATTGTATTTTTATAATATTTAATTAAAAAATAAAAAGCATAATATGATGGTTTGAAGTATAGACTTTGGGATTAAACTGCTTTGGTTTGAAATCCAGACTCTGGCACCTAATACCTATTGACCTTGGGCAAGTTATTAAATTAAACTACCTTTGTACCTTGGTTTATCTATAAAATGCAGGTAACAAACTATCTCAAAAAGGATGAACAAATTAGTATTTATGATACACATAAAACAGTACAGATTAATTGGCACAGATTAAGCAGTCATAGAAACATGCATGTATTATACCTGCACACATTTATACATATGCATGTATAGAGATATGTATACATATATCACACATGCACCTTCTAGGGGTTTCTGTCTGTTCTTACCTGCTCAAGCATTCTAGCAAATACATTCCAGCTTCTTCTTCTTTTTTTTTTTTTAAAGATTTTATTTATTTATTTGACAGACAGAGATCACAAGTAGGCGGAGAGGCAGGCAGAGAGAGGCGGGGAAGCAGGCTCCCTGCTGAGCAGAGAGCCCGATGTGGGGCTCGATCCCAGGACCCTGAGATCATGACCTGAGCAGAAGGCAGAGGCTTAACCCACTGAGCCACCCAGGTGCCCCTACATTCCAGCTTCTTTTGATAAATCTAGTATCTTGAAATTTTGACTTAATAATTTGTCATATTTCCTAATGCTAAACAGCTGAATCTACTCTCTACACACACACACACACACAGTTTATGTATACTCTGGGATGATTTCAAAAACCTGCTTTAAAATTTTTTTGCTCCTAGGATGTCTGGGTGCCTCAGTCATTAAGCATCTGCCTTTGGCTCAGGTCATGATCTTAGGGTCCTGGGATTGAGCCCCTGCATCAGGCTCCCTACACTCCTATTCTACCTCTTTAAATTCACAATTTGGCTAAAAGCACAGAATCAATTCTAGGCTGAAAATCAGATACACAGAATTTTGAAGGAATGGCTTCAGTAGAGTCTAGTTTCCATTGTTCCCTTTGGTTAATCTGCTATTCCTTTTTAAAAAATTCATTCAAATATTGTTGATAGACAGTGTTACATTAGTTTCAAGTATTCAACGTAGTGATTTGACAACTCTATACCCTTTGCTACGCTCACGGTAAGTGTAGCTACCACCTGTTACCATACAACGCTATTATGATACCACTATGTTCCTTATGCTGTACCTCTAATCCCTGATTAACTCATTCCATAACTGGAAGCCTGTACTCCCACTCCCTTTCACCCATTTTATCCACCCCCCACCTCTCAGTCTATTACTACTGCTATTCTGCTCCCTGAACTTTGAAGGTAATCTGCTAGCCTTCCCTCCTTCCTCCCAAACCCCTGTCCTTGGGAAGAAACTCTTATTAGAGAGCCTCACTTTATTCATTCATTCAAGAGCAAGTACGAGCAGGGGTAGGGGTAGAGGGAGAAGAAGTGAGAGAATCCCAAGCAGACTCTGCACCGAGTGTGGAGCCTGACTCCACCAGGCTCAATCCCCACAACCCTGAGATCATGACCTGAGATAAAATTAAGAGTCAGATGCTTAACTGACTGAGCCACCCAGGTGCCTCTCGAGAGCCTCACTTTTATCCACTTTTATCCCCGGAAGTTCTAAAATTTGTATGGGAGTTTTTACATTTATTGAGTTAGCCCTTCTCAGTGGTATACCTTTTCTTGTTTTCTTTCTTTTTCTTCTTCTTTTTTTAGTGGTGTACCTTTTCAAACTGAAGTTCCCAATCACCTCAGAAATCACCTCAAGAAAATGTTCTTCTTTTGGATCTTTAGTAACTTTCTCTTCTCATTTTCTCTGTCCTCTCTTTTACTAGATGGATTTTGGCTCTGCTAGACTGGTCCTCAAATTTTCCTACCATGTGTAAGATTCCTCTATTTCATCTTCAAAAACTCCCATCAGCTTTTTCATTTACTGTTGTATTATAATTTCTGGAAGTTTTCTTGCTCTAATTCTTTCTGTTTGATACTGATCTGTCCTGTTCTTTTTATTGTTTTTTTGTTTTTTTTTTAAGAGAGAGAGAGTGCACAGATGGTAGGGGGAGGAGCCCCTGGTCCCTCTCATGACCTTGTTATCATGACCTGAGCAGAAATCAAGAGTTGGACACTTAACCAACTTGTTATTGTTTAATGAATGTGATATTAACAATATTTCTAAGGGTATTAATTTGTTTTGTGTGGGGTTTTTTTTTGAGACTTTCTTTTCCTTTTTGAGACTTTCTTTTCCTTTGTCTTTGCTTTTAACAAGTTCCTATATTTCAATTATTGTTAGGCTTTTTACTCTAGTTTTCATAGTAGAAGTTTAATCAAATCTCTGATAATTGTTGTCACAGTGACTTTGGGCTTGGCCATGCTATCTGCTTTGGCCAATGAAATGTGCACGGACATCAAGTATACCACCATCCATGCAGAAGCTTGAAATGTATCTGTGTGGTTTGTCTCTGTTCCCATCCCTGAGCTTCTGCCCTCTGCCATGGAGAGAACAGCATGCTGCAGATAGTAGCTGCTCACTACCGGTCCTGGAATGAGAAGAGCTGTGAGCTGAGCAGAGCTCTTAAGCAAAGGTGGAGAAAGGCTGCAGGAGTCCTCAGGGCCAGGTGTGAGCAGGAAATATTTGTTGTAAGCCACTGAGATTTGAGATCCCACTCGTGGATTAAAATTATGCATATACTGGGGTGCCTGGGTGGCTCACTGGGTTAAAGCCTCTGCCTTCAGCTCAGGTCATGATCCCAGGGTCCTGGGATCAAGCCCCACATTGGGCTCTCTGCTCAGCGGGGAGCCTGCTTCCTCCTCTCTCTCTGCCTACTTGTGATTTCCATCTGTCAAATAAATAAGAAATCTTAAAAAAAAATTATGCGTATACTTATATATACACACAAGATATTTCTGGAAATATTCACAAGACAATGGAAGTGGAAGATGTAAAAAAAAACCAGAAATCTTAATTTTTGTGTTATATTCTTTGGTATCTTTTAATACATGTTCATGGCAAAACATTTATTTTTATAATAATTTCATCCAAGAAATCCTAGTTAGAAAAAGGCAAAATGAAAGAGCACTGAACCAAAAAATAAAACTCCAATTTAAAATTTTTCTAAAGATCCTATTAAGGCAATATATTACCAGTATAGAAATTATGGAAACTAAAAAATGTATAAATAAGAATAAAAACCATCAATTATGTCAAAAACCAGACGTATCATTTTATTTGTATCATTTTAGAGATATGATTCATCACCCTGTATATGTAATTTTGTATTGTTTTTCAATTTTACATTATAATAAGCACTTCACAATGTTAAGAATTCATTAAGCTCACTTTTAGTTGCTATATATATGTCACCATACTGATGTCATAATTACTCCCTTAGTGCTGAACAAATACATTCATTCTAATTTTTTACTACCTTAAGTAATGTCTCAATAGACATTTCTAGGCATAAAGCATTTCTTGCATTTATGATTTTTCTTTAGGATATATTCCTATTATCAGAATTGCTGGGTCAAAACCATGAACATGTTTAGGCTTTTTTTTTTTTTTAAGATTTTATTTATTCATTTGACAGAGAGAGAGAGATCACAAGTAGGCAGAGAGGCAGGCAGAAGCAGGCTCCCCGCTGAGCAGAGAGCCTGATGTAGGGCTCGATCCCAGGACCCTGAGATCATGACCCGAGCCGAACGCAGAGGCCTAACCCACTGAGCTACCCAGGTGCCCTTGTTTAGGCTTCTGATACATACTGCCAGACTGCCTTCCAAGTACACTGCATGGATTTACAGTCCCACCAGTACTATCAAGGTAGTCACTGATACAAAACAGGCAAAAACTGGTATATCAGTAACTGCTGTTTTCATATTTCTCATTATGAGAGAGCCAAATATCTTGTCACAGGTTTTAGTCATTTGCATTTTTTTCATACAAATTCCCTCTTACTTTTTAACTTTTTATTTTAATTCCAATTAGTTAACACACAGTTTTGTATTAGTTTCCGGTGTACTATATAGTGATTCAACACTTTCATACATCATCTGGTGCTCATCACGACAAATGTACTCCACTTGTTGCTTTTCATTAATCAAAGTCTTAGTGCTTTGCCAACTGATTTGTATATAATTTCTTACACTACATTAAGCTCAGAAAGTCTTCCTTTTTCCTTTGTGCTTTTATACCTAATAACAGAATCTGGATTATGATGATGATGATTTTTTAAGGAGGTGCCACACCCAGTGTGGAGCCCAGGGCCAGGCTTAAAAACTCACGATCCCGAGATCAAGACCTGAGCAGAGATGAAGAGTGAACAAAACCAACTGAGCCAACTCAGACACCCTTACCTAATAATAGTGTTTTATCAACAAATCTTTCCTTCCATGCCCTCACTATACTTTTCTACATCAAAATCAACTGTGGGACATTCATCTCAGAGATTTGGCCTCAATTACTGGAAGATGGAGCTGTGTAATTGTATTTTTAGAAAGGTGAGACTGAAAAGGTGAAAAACAATGCATTATGTTCTAGGGTAGAATGATCATTAGTTTTGGTCTTTCTTCCTGGTGGCCCAAAAGCTGCAATAAACCTCTTTCAAAAGCTCTGTCTTAATATTTAATCTGCTTAAAATGAGGGGAAAAAGGCATACAACAAATTTCTTTGGAAGAAATAAGGTGTCACTATTCATCATGGGATTTTACAAAAGCCACAACTCTTACCTGTTTGGAGAGTACTAGGAAAAGACAAGGTGACTTTTTCATCTTCATTCTGATAGTTAAATCCTGTAGCATGTATTTCTGGAACAGAAATTTAAAAAAAAAAAATTAGTTCAAAAATCTGACTGGACTAAAACAAAATCCAGACTATAGCAATTAATATTTTTCAGGGCAAAATCTCTACTAAAACTAAATATTCTTTTTTTTTTCTTAAGACTTTATTTATTTATTTGACAAAGGGAGAGGGAGGGAGAGAGCACAAGCAGGGGGAATAGCAGAGGGACAGAGAGAGAAGAGGCTCTCCACTGAGCAGGGAGTCCAATGCAGGGCTCCATCCTAGGACCTTGGGATCACGACCTGAGCCAAAGGCAGACACTTAACTGACTGAACACCCAAGCATCCCCCACACTTTTTTCAAGTAAGCTCCAAGCCCAACATGGGGCTTCAACTCAAGACCCTGAGATCAAGAGTCACATGCTCTACCAACTAAGCCAGCTAGGTGCCCCTAAAATTAAATATTCTTAATTGAATAAATTAAGTTTCTATTAACAAAAGTGTCATTTCAAACCAACCTATTTTAGTCCACATCCTAAATTAAATGTGCTCCTGAAACACATTTATACGTGCTGTATTAATTCACAAAACTTTTTTTTCCCATAAAACTTCTATGATACAAGGGAAATAGGGCTACTATAAATTTTCTACCAGATTCCCAGACATGCTTCATTCCTATCTTTTTGCTTTCTAAGTTGCAGTTTTACTCATGAACACTTGAAAGACTGAGCAAATTGCCGAGATTTCAGTGTTAAAGCTGTATCAATGAAAGTTCTGTCCCCCAACCAAAGACAGGTAATAATTCCAACTAAAATACAGATCATCCTTATTTCCAATAAAATTCATTGTTACATTTTACAGAAATAAAGGTGAAAACAGATGTGTGGGTTAAATTAGGCTTCGATTTACTTTCTAGTAGGAGTGAGAAGACATTGCTTATTTGATACTTGAGAATGCTCAGCATACACTTCAGGGAAAGAGCTAGCCTTAATACGCAAATGAGTAGATGCTCAACATCCTGAACCATCAGCGAAATGGAAATCAAACCACAAGGAGACACCACTTCACACCCACTTAGATGACTACAATCAGAAAGACAGATAATGCTAAGTGTAAGGGAGGATGTAAAGACATTGGAACCCTCATACATGGCTGGTAGGAATGTAGAGGCTGGTAGGAATGCTGAATGGTGCAGCCACTTAGGAAAACAGCCCAGGAAGTTCCTCAAATGATTATTAAATGGACTTATCAGAGGGCCCAGAAATCCCACTCTTAGTGGGGATATATAAATCCAAGAGAAATAAAAATGTATGTCGAAAACTTATACACAGATGTTCATAGGAGCATTATTCGTAATAGCCAAAAAGTGGAAACAACCCAAATGTCCATCAAACGATGAACAGATAAAATGTGGTATACAATGGAATACTGCTTGACAAAGAAAAGGAATACCAAGTGTTGATATATACTACAATATTGATAAACCTTGAAAATATTATATCAAGTGAAAGAAACCAGACAAAAAGGCCACATATTTATCAGAAATGTTCAGAATAGGCAAATCTATAAGACAGAAAGTATATTAGTGGTTGCTTAGGGCTGGAAGTTTGAGGTGAAAGGTATTTTCTTTATGGGGTAATGAAAATGATAAAATCTGATCCTGGGGGGTGCCTGGGTGGCTCAGTGGGTTAAAGCCTCTGCCTTCAGCTCAGGTCATGATCCCAGGGTCCTGGGATCGAGCCCCACATCAGGCTCTCTGCTCAACAGGGAGCCTGCTTCCCCCTCTCTCTGCCTGCCTCTCAGCCTACTTGTGATCTCTGTCTGTCAAATAAATAAATAAAATCTTAAAAAGACAAAAATAAAAAAACAAAAACAAAAAAACTGATCCTGGTGATGGCTACACAACTCTATGAATATACTAGAAACCACTGAATTGTACACTTATTTTTTTTTTAAGATTTGAGAGAGACAAATAGCGCATGAGCACATGCACACATGCAGTGAGAGAGGGAGAGAATCTCAAGCAGACTCCAGGCTAAGCATAAAGCCCAACTTGGGGCTCTGTCTCACAACCCTGACATCATGACCGAAGCCAAAACCAAGAGTCAGACACTAACCAACAGAGACATCCAGATGCCCTGATTTGTACATTTTTTAAAAAAAGATTTTATTTATTTATTTGAGAGAGAGAGTGTAAGCACGACTGGGGGGAGGGACAGAGGGGAAGTAGATTCCCTGCTGAGTAGGGAACCCAACAGGAGGCTCAATCCCAGGAACCTGAGATCATGACCTGAGCCAAAGGCAGACATTTAACCAACTGAGCCACCTAGGTGACCCCTGAACTGTATACTTCAAATGAGTGAATTTTATGGTATGTGAATTGTATCTCAATGAAACTGTTTAAGAGAGAAAGGTAGCTTTATTAGTCATGGACTTAAATTTGATATGGATAACAGTGTTTCAGATTTGATAACATTCTATGAGCCAGGCAAGATGCCCACAATTCATTTCTTTTTATGAATCACCCTAAGATTGAATTTTCAATGTTTCTAATACAATTATGGTTCAAAGATCTTTATAAACCTAAATCTTTACAAAACCAATAAGAAACTATAATTTCAGATTTTAAAAGAACTTTAATAAATTATTCCTCATTTTACAGATGAAAAAAATGAGATATCCAAAGTTAATGATTTGCCTAAATTCACACAGCTGGACTAGAATTCAGTTCCCTTCCTATTCCAAAATTCTTTCTACTATCATAAACTAGCTCCTATAAATTTGAAAAGAAACTCATAACTTGGCATATATAGAACACTGATGAAATCACAACTGAAACAATGACTTTTACTCGTAAAAACTCAAGGTTTGCTTTAACTTGATTCCCATATAGAATCATACTTAAGCCTACAGGGAAGCTAAGAATCACCTTAATGAGTAAGAATGTACTTTTCTGACAAAGATATAAAATAGCATTATGGTCTATGATCAAAGACTATCTCCATAAAAGATTATTAAAACTAACTTGTTTTTATAAATGCACAAAAAGTCCTCAAGTTGGTAATGAAGATAAAAAGCCAAAAGAATAGCAGTTTTTACTTTTTTATTTTTAAAAAAGATTTTATTTATTTGAAAAAGTGAGAGAGAGCACACAGAGGGAGAGTGAGAGAGAGAGAAGCAGACTCCCCACTGAGAGAAAGCCCGATGCAGGACTCAATCCCAGATCATGACCTGAGCAGAAGGCAGATGCTTAACCGACTGAACCACCCAGGAGCCCCTATTGTTATTTTATTTTATTTTTTAAGTAGGTTCCATGCCCAATGTGGAGCTTGAACTCATGACCCTGAGATCCAGAGTCACATGTGGGGTACCTGGGTGGCTCAGTCTGTTAAGCGTCTGACTCCTGATTTTGGCTCAGGTCATGATCTCAGGGTTCTGAGATCGAGCCCTGCCTCGAGGTTCATATTCAGCACAGACTACCCAGGATTCTCTCTCTCCCTCTCCTCCTGCTCATGCCCACACGTGTGCTCTAAATAAATAAATAAATAAATAAATAAATAAAATCTTTAAAAAACAAAACAAAACAAACACCTCACATGCTCCACCAACTGAGTGAGCCAGGTGCCTCAAGAATAGCAGTTTTTTTTTTTTAATATAATTTTTATTTTTTTTTTTAATTTGAGAGAGACAGAGAGAATGAGAGAGACAGAGAGAGAGAGAGCATGAGAGGGGAAAGGTCAGAGGGAGAAGCAGACTCCCCCGTGAGCAGGGATCCTGATGCGGGACTCGATCCTGGGACTCCAGGATCAGGACCTGAGCTGAAGGCAGTCACGTAACCAACTGAGCCACCCAGGAGCCCCATGAGAATAGCAGTTTTTAAATTTAAACAATCAAGTATTGTTATTGCTAGATTCCATTCTAGCATATGATTCCAAATATGCACATCAACTCTATTACATGTATATAAAAAAAGAGTAAAATTTCCTCTAAAATTCTCTCTTAGAAAAGAGGGTAGTAATCATATATTTCTTTCTTTCTTTTTTTTTTAATTTGAGATAGAGAGACAGCATGAGTGCACACCTGAGCAGGGAGAGGGACAGAGGGGGGAGGAAGAGGATCAAGCTGATTCTGGACTAAGCACAGAGCCTGTCTTGGGGCTTGATCCCATGACCAGGAGATCACAACCTGAGCCAAAACCAAGAGTCAGATACTTAATCAACTGAGCCACTCAGGTGCCCCATAATCATATATTTGAACTTCTTAAGTTTCTTGTATTATGGAACACCCTTCCAATTACTTTATTAAAAAAAATTTTTTTTTCCAATTACTTCATGTTGAACAACATACTACTTGACAAACATACATTAGATTTTAAAATAACCTTGGTCAATTGTAGCTTTGGATATTCTGTAAATGGCACAAACCAGAAATACATTAATACAGAATTTCTCAAACAAGAAATACAGAATCATCCTAACTGCTTCCCTCCATGACTGTCTCTCATAACACATTCCAAATCAGCAAATTCAGTAGCCTATATCTTTAACTCCAGATTTTTCAATGCCCCCATCACTACAACCCCAGTCCAATGTACCACTATTTCTTTCTAGATCACTATAGTAGCCTCTTAACTAGTCTGTTTCTGCTCTTGCTGCTTTATAACCTATTCTTCACACAGCAGCCAGGGTAATCTGTTAGATCAAAGACTTTAATGAAGTCCCAAAATATTCAGAATGAAAAGCCAGGTCTCCTTGAGGTTGGTAAATATTTTAGAGAGGACCAAAAGATTTCATTAATAGTTACAACTTGTGATTAGGGGCACCTGGCTGACTCAGTTGTTAAGCGGCTGCCTTTGGCTCAAGTCGTGATCCTGGGGTCCAGGGACTGAGCTCTGCACCGGGCTCCCTGCTCAGCAGTAAGACTGCTTCTCCCTATTTCACTCCCCCTGCCTGTGTTCTGTCTTTTGCTGTGTCTGACTCTCCGTCAAATAAATAAATAAATAATCTTTAAAAATTAAAATAAAACTT